AGCAGGAGGCACAGCAACACCCAGGACATGAGCTGGTGGCTGTCATTAGCATGTTTTTGTAGTAACCAGATCTGATTTGATTAAACAGACTATGTTGTTACCATTTTTAATATTATTTTGTTTTACTTGCAAATCAGTTGTCGATCAGAATTTTTAAATGCTTTTTGCCGAAGACAAATTTTTAAGTGATTTTGCTAGGAAGAACTGATTCATTTGGTGAACCAAGATGTATTTAGGAGGCTTAGAAGCTCCACTGCACTCTGCCAGCCTGACTACCAAGTTGCCATCACATACCTCAGAGCTTCGTAGTCTCGAAGGAGTCATTCTGGAGATACCCTGTTAAATGTTAGCGTTTTCAATTTGGTTTTAAGCTCTTGAATTCAACTGCTCTTTGTTCATAAATGCAGGAGACTAAAACACAATCGAGGCAGCTATTATCTTAAATGCAGAAGTACCAACTTGCAAATTGGGCAGAGTACACACCTTCTGGTTTGGGAGGTGCTTGATCACTTCATAGCTCAGTCCCTCCCTAGCCGTGCCCTTTTCGTGCATCAATGGGGAGTCTCTGTTTTAAGATACTTTTTAAGAACGTCTTTCAGAAATAGTTCTTGGGAAACACGCACAGTCCTTGTTATTGTCAGAGGACCTTGTAGTCTTGTTGCCATGTGGTCTTTGCTTCTCTAAACAGCTCAGGCACCCAAAAAGAGTCCTGACCTAACGCTGCCTTATAGTGAGGGGTTGGTAGTTTAGTGTGCTCTTGCTGCAAGCCTGCATTGCCTCCTCACTGGTGGAAGTGCCACAGCCTGGCTCTCACTGGGAGTGCAAAGCCAGGGATCTCAATCTCCAAGTGCTGAGCCAGGGCGAGCTTCCATTCTTACCAGGGAAAATCTGTCTGCTCTTGGTGAAGAAACAGCCCTGGTTATTTTAGGTCCTTGGGATGCCAAGGAAAGAGTGCAATAGCAGACAGCTTCTGCTACTTGTTAGTGGCCAATTTAAGTAAATGATCTCAATAAAAGCTTGTTTATTTTCTCCTCCCTATCCCCAAACTTTTAGTCTGCTACTTTCTCTTCCTCTCCTATCAGCTGAAATCATTAACTTCCCATGAGAATTGCATAGCCTGCTAGTTCTAGGTCACCCTTTCCTGCTGGCATCTGTCTGCATCTTAGCTGCTTATAGCCATCAGTAAAACCATTGTATACTTGAAATGCTCCAATAAATGTTGCCTGAATAATTCACTGTGCAGCCTCTGTGTCCTCTGGTCTTTGATGTTTTGTAAAATGGTGGGAGTGTGGGATTCCTTTCAGAGTTGGATTTTTTGGTAAAGTTTTTGTGATTCTTGGGTGTCTTGTGCTGCACTTTGAGAAGAGGCCAGAAGCATTTGCAGTGGTAGCTAATGCTTAGATCCATGCTTCAGCTAAGCAGGCTAAGCCGTGTTGCCTGTTCAAGCTGTTTCTGCTCCTTTAGTGACTGTCCCTGCCCTGTGACACCCTGAGCCACTGCTCATTCCTGAGTGCTCAGGTGTGGTCTGGAGCACTGCTGTACCATGTGCAGAGAGAGCTGCTTCCCTGACCCTTTGCTCTATTCCTTGCTTGCCTGTGTTCCGACCAGCTCAGTTCCTTGGACAGTTCAGTGCAGTTTTGGTGGCTGGAAGCTGAACATGAGCCAAGGGGGATCATGACCATTAACAGACATTGGTCTCTGGATCTCTTCAAGGCTCCTTGTAAAGAATTTACTGATTGCTGTTGCTCAGCTGCAGGTTTTTATCTCTTCAGGTTCCTGGTTTTGGGGTGTCTTAGGGGCTAAGAGCCCGTATCCTCTGCGCTGGTCAGCAGGAGAACTAAATCTTTGGTGCCTGCTCATGAAGGAAGGAGTTAATTTTAAGAAGCTCAAGAGAATGTGGCAGCCAGCAGAAAGAAGCTGAGCATCTTGCAAACGATGAGAACTGTAAATACAGAGGGCATTTGCTGAGATTTGAGAGATTGAGACAGGAATGGTCTAGCAGAGAGCAGGGTTTGGTGCTGGGAGGATAGGAGAGCAGTGGCTGACAGGAGCAGGGAATACTGGGGGAGAGCAGGGCTTGGGCAGCACCCTTGCCCTCACAGTTCTGCACTGGCACAACAAGCTTGCTCTGCACTCTCCACTCCTTGGTAGGAAAGAGCCAATGGCTGGTGGGGGGTCAGTGCTACCACAGAGCCTCAGCTCGGGGAGAAAAACATCCTTTCTGCACTAGAGAGCTGGGCTGTGGGAGCCCCAGCAGTTGGGATACAGTTCCAGTAGCAGCTGTATCCTTATGGAGCTGACACAGAGGCTGCACTGCCCACAGTAGAGCTCCCTGCTAAGCTGCAGACCTGTGGAACATCACCTTGGCTTTCAGCAAAGAGCAGCCTGTCCCTGGCAGAGGGAGAGAGATGTTCCTTAGCCTAACCTTGCTGAGAGGTCAGTGAGAAGTGTTTTGTGTGCTGGAACTGGAAAAGGAGTTTCTGGTGGTCCTTGGGCTCCAGGCACAGAATGTACTGAAATTAATGCAAGTTACTGTGGGTGTTAAAGCGAGAAAACTGGGGTGGGTCCCAAGGGGTGCTGGAGGGTGGCTATGCCCCCAGGCATCTCAAGCCCTGCCAATCGCAGCTGTCAGAGCCCAACTAGACCTGCCACTGGCACTGAGCAGTGCCTGCTGAGGTGGAAGCACTCCCCAAGGAGCCTCTGTCCCCTTCATGGGTATCACCATCTCTGTAGTTCCCTGCAAGATTTCCAAGCTTGTAAAGTCTGTTCTGAGAGCTGTTGCCTTTCAGCTGCGTGTCACGAAGGTGTCAAGAAGCTTGTAACATTGAGACAATATATTCAAATAAACTTCTTTTATAAACCAATTAAACTAGATAAACCAATCAAACCTCACCCAACATTTGAATACAGATTTGTGCTGCAAAGTAGAATTGGAACTACCTGACTGTAGGAATTCTCAAGATTTTAGAAGGGTACCCTGGAATGCATATGAGCTGAGGGCTCTCAGCCTCGAGGAGTTTCCTGCTGACCCCTGGGGGGAGTCCCTGACTGCTGACCTGCAGCTCAGAGGAGTGACTCCACTGCCCCCCAGCATGGCTCTTTCCAGAGCCCGTGGGATCTGATCTCTGGTAGGACAGAGTCACAGTAACCTTCCCTGACCGGGGCTCTGACCTTCTGCCCCACCACAACCACAGGGGCCGGTCAGGCTGGAGCCAGCCGTGATATGACCGAGGCGGGTGGCAGGTCACGGGCCGGAGGGGCTGAGGTGGCTGTTCCTGCCACAGCCAATTGGTTTGAGTTTGTCATAAACACCAGAGAGGCAGATGCTGGGTTGGTGGGTTGATCCTCTGCCAGGAAGTGGGGAGAAGATGAGCAGTATGGACATAACTCCTGGTCTTGGAGAAGATACAGTGGGGGGACAGAAGCCTCTCCAGTTGCTGGGGATGGGGAGACTGGAGAGATGCCTGAAAAGAGCAGGCTGAGGCTTGTTTGCAAAAGCCAAATTATCCTATTCCTGTCCCTATTCCTATTTATTTATTTATTTACTATAGTTGGCAATGGCCATGATGCCCTTGGACTGATGGAGGCACAACCAAAACCTTGTCAGTGCCTCAGCAAAGGAATACGTTCAGCTCCCTGCGTTGACGTGCACCGAGCCAGTGGAGCTGCTCATGCCAGGGCTTAGCTGGCTCATTGAAGGATAAGAAAGTAGGACACGTACCTGTCAGGTGACCTCTCCAGAGCCAAACAGCCCGGCACTCCACATGCTCTGCCTCTCAGAACAGATGTCCAGGATACATTGGGGCAGTAGATGTCAGCCAAAGAGCCAAGTGTGTGTGCCAAGTCGAGAGAGGCCAGTGTTGTTGCAGGGATAAGGAATTTTCACAAACTTGGACCATGGAAAGAAACAACATCTTCCATCTTTTAATTATTTTGCTGATGGTTTTTAGGTCAATCTCTGGAAGAAGTGTAGGGGAAACTTTAAATGTTTCAGCCAGTTTGATCTCAGAAACATTCATGTAATCCAGGCCCCTCAACGCATGTAAATCCATCACAACTCTTTGCCAAATGGGAGCTGTTGGTAACCCCAGCTCAGGCCTGTCCCAGGCATGGCTGGTCCTGTGCCCCCGTTTGGGTTTCCCCCGGCTTTGTTCTGGCTCCCTGTGCTGCCCAGCAGCCTCAGCCCCTCCTGACACCTATGCTGATGCTGCTGCAACCAGGAGCAGGGAGCCACCAGTGCCAGGTGAGCCTGGCCAGCTGCACCTGCAAGCGCCAACCCAAGCCCACTGCGCTGTGGAGGGAACCACGGTCTCCAGCTCTCATCGCAGAGGGCCACACGCACGAGCAGCCCGCGATGGAAGGAAGGCTGTGGGAGAGCAGACCCGCGGCTGCTCTAGGCCAGTGTCACGGCATCTCTTACTGATGTCCCGCTGGGTGCTGGTGCCCCCTTGCCCCGTGACAAGGGGTGACATGTGACGCCCGTGTACGGGCTGTGGCAGCGACATAATGCCCACGCACATCCCCGGGAAAATTCTTCCAGGCTTCTGGAGGCGGGACTGAAGAATCTCGGATCCAGCTCCCTGGAGGCTTGGCCCAGAAATCGAACACGCCTGGTGCGGTGGGGCTGGGGCTGATCCCCCTCTGTGTGGGGAGAAGGAAGGGGGTCTCAGGCCACGGAATAACCGCGGCTGCGGCCGGGCCCTGCCTCTCCCCTTCGCCCCGATCGCGGTGCAGGCTGCCCCCGCAGCACTCGGCACAAAACTAAGCAGCCGGACCGGGCCCGAGCGGCCCCAGCCCCGGGAGGAGCCGGCCCTGCCCAGTCCCGCCCCTTCCGGCGGCCCCGCCCGGCCCGGCCCGGCGCGGCGCGGTGCGGCTCCGTTTGACCGGGAGTGGTGGGCCCGGCCCGGCTCGGCTTGGGTGGCGCGGCTCGGCGTGACCTGGTTCGGGGTGACCCGGCGATGGCGGTGCCGGCGGCGGCGGAGGCGGTGCCGGGCCGGCAGCGGGCCCTGGCCGCCGGCTCGCCCGTGGACTATATGAGCATCACCAGCTTCCCGCGGCTGCCCGAGGAGGAGCCGAGCGGCGCGGCCGAGAGCGGCCTCCGCGCCCGCAAGGAGGAGGACGCGTTCCTGGGCGAGCAGGACACGGGTGAGGGGCGGCGGCAGAGCCCGCCCGCGGCCCCCGGCACCCCCGGCCCTCGGCCCCGCGCCCGGAGCGGGGCTCCCCGGGCTCCCGCCGTCCCCGGCCTCGGCCTCGCGTTCACCCTGAGGGACGGAAAGCAGTCAGAGATCCAGGGGTTCACACTGAGCCTCCCAGGGCAGCCTGGAATGTGCTCTCCCACAGCTGGTTTGGCCTTCCAGCCTGGACCACTTGTGCATGGCCTCCTTGCATGCTCCTTGAGCATCCCCCCACCCTGGGGGTGCTCCTTGCGCATCCCTCGGTGTGGGATGCTCCATCCCTCTGGTGCTCAGCTGGAATAAAGTCAGGTGATCGTTTGATCTGTAAGAAAATCTTCTGCCTATTTTTAACTGATTGCTTTCTCCTCCATAGTTGAGAGAGGAGTTGTTTCTCCCCCATGTCATGTTTCTTCAAGTGGTGCTGCCCTTCCCCCCGGGGCTGGTTCCCAGTCTGGGTGCCTGTCAGCCCCCAGGCCCATGTTTGCACAGCCCCAGGCACCCCTTGCCCTCTGCACTGTCCCACCGTGCCCACCCTGACCGTCGAGGCAAAGCTGCTGCCTTCAGGGGTGTGGTAATTAGCCCTCCTGGAAGCACGAGGCCTCTCATCACACACCTGGAATCTGGTGTAATTTTGGCAGTGCCAATGCAGCAGCTCCAGACCTGAGATGGCCCTGGTTCTCCAAAGTATTGGCTCCCCCATAAAGCCACGTCTCCTTCACAGCCCCACGGAAGCCAAGTGGGATTTGGTGGCTTCTCTTTTAAAGCATGCACATTGGTGGTGGTGTGGGCAGCTATGCATTGGCTGTGCAAGCTGCTTCTGGCTCCCACTGCTCCCTTCCAGCTGCTCCCATCCCCACACCACAGCTCTGCTGTCTATGCAACACCAGTGGTCACAAAGACTAAAAACAGGATGTCTGTAGCAGAGAATGAAGGTACTTCATGGTGGGAGGGCTGTGGTCTGCCCTCTTCCACAGTTGCTTCCTAGGTATTCATGTCCCCTCGTGCATGTCTGGCCTGTCACCAGAGTGGAGAGATGGTGTCCTGGAGGGGCTGGGCAGAGGAGGCCAGGTCAGTCCTCGCTGCTTCCCTGCAGGTCGGGCTGGGGCTTCCCTCGGGTGTGCCAGGGGCTGTATGGGACATCCCACCCCAATGGCAGCCCCTGTCAGGCCAGTTGTGGCCCCCACTGAGGCCACCAGCCAGTCCTGCCATTCAGTCCACCTCGCTTAGACCAGACAAGCCCATGAGAGGCTCAGTGTGTGCTCAGAGGCTCAGGCTGGAAAAACTGAGCCTTTCCCAATCCCACTCATAAACCATCACAGCACAAATGAGATTAAACTCATCATGAGGGGATTCCCTGGCTGTGGGAATTTACTCCTGGTTACAGCATCACTGAAATTGAAACTCCTTCCCTCCCTGGCCTCAGGAGAGCTGCAACCAGGTCCTGTTAATGCCATGACAAGGACTGGGCTGGCATTGCCCAGGGCGATACCACCTGCCAGAGAAGACAGGCAGTTGATGGGGAATGTGGGCTTTTCTGCTCACTACCCTCTCCTTTTCCAAACCCAGGAAACATCTCTGGAGGGAAAAGCTTCTCATCTTGTCTTTGCCACTTGGTGCCCCTCTTTTTCCACTATGGATGCACAGAGCACTGCAGCCCCTGAAAAAATTCTTCCTGGAGCCCTGGATGATTCCCTGAGCTACTTGGTCCCCTTCAGAGCCCATGAGGGATGGGCACGACCTCACAGCTGCCCCAGCAGCTTCGTGTGCCTGGCAGCAACCGGGACGGGCAGGGCGTCCTTAGCCGGTGTCCTCCCAGCACAAGGGCAGCAGCTGACACTCACAGACATTCAAGGCATCTTTCAGAGCAAAAAAGAGACTTTTTCATCCTACTGAGGCCCAGCAAACCCCTGTCCCACTGCTTTGCCATCTTGGAGCCGGGTGTCCAGTGTGTGGATTCATTTCACAGTGGGCCCCATCTGCCAGAGGAAGCAAGGAATTAAAGCAGAGTCCTTCCTGCAGCAGAGCGAGTGGATGTTCCGAGGCCTCTGGTTTGCAGGTTTGCTCCTCTCTGCCCTTGCTTCCCTAGAGGCCAAATGTGCCCAGGCCAAATGTTTTGCTTTACCTCTGTTTTGCTCTACCTCTGTTTTGCTCAGGTGCTTTAGCTCAATCGTAGCTCCAAGTAAAGCTGCTGCATCTTTTAAAAATTCTTAGTTTTCTTTTCTTCAGTCCCGCTGCGTTTCAGAGACCTGTTTGCTGTGTTAAAAACCCCTCCAAATGGAGCATAGGAGGGGGCCTATCACTGAAAACCGATGAATGGACTGAAACGGAGTAAAATTCAAGGGTTTTTTGTCTCTCATAATCTCTAGGGAAGTCAGTTTGGAATAATTAAGAGCTTAAGAAAAGGATCCGTAAAATGATTCAAAGCAGTATCTGAGCCAGAAAGGCTCCTGAGAGCTGGGATCAATAGGGAAGGTGATAGCCATGCTCAGTGAAGGGGCTCAGTGTAATGTTCGTGCTGGGTAAACACTGCAATAAGAGCCCCAAGTTGCTCAATATCTCACACTTGTTTTCTCCCTGCTGCCCACAAAGACCCAGAGTCCTTCCTGAAGTCTGCACGGCTCCAGCGCCTGCCCTCGTCCTCCTCAGAGATGGGAAGCCAGGACGTGTCCCCTCTGCAGGAGACCAGCAAGGATCCCTTCTCAGGAGACTGCAGCTGCCGGCAGGACGGGCTGACCGTCATCATCACCGCCTGCCTGACCTTCGCCACGGGTGTCACTGTGGCCCTCATCATGCAGATCTATTTTGGGGACCCTCAGGTAAGACAAAACAGTAGCTTTATGGTTGGGCTTTGGTTCCAAAGATGGGAGAGCTCCCTGATATTCCTCCTAGTCAGCAGTTCAGCAAGGAGAGTACTAGGGAGCCATGGCTGGTGTCAGTGAGGCCCTGGGTGCTCAGTCTCCCCCTGGTTCCACCCCAAATTGGCTTGAAAGCCTTTTCCTGGAGGTTTTGCTTGGAGAGCCAAGCCAGACTCTCAGAGCTTGTCTCATGGCCAGGGTGTAGGGGGCTGTGTCAGGCAGGCTTGGGGGTGCTGCTGGGAGGGAACAGACAACCCCTCTGCTGTGACTCCAGCTGTGGTTTGAGCCAGATGGGAGTGCTTTCAGAAAGTAATCCTTAGTTAAACACTAGTCATCTTGTCCACTTGGACAGAGTTTTATGGATTATGGGCAGACATGCCCAGATTCACCTCTGGAAGATTCATTCAGGACCAAGCAGGGAAATAGCTGAAAACAGAGGTGAACCTCCTGCTAATCTGTCCCACAGCCCAGTGCTAGATTGCAGAGCCAAGGCATAATGGTCACGGAGTTGGATCCTCCCGCAGAACCTCTGCCAGGGTCACAGTCAGCCAGGAACCACCATCTCCACATACTGCCGTGGCCCTTCTGTCTTTGCATGTCCTCAGGACAGCCTGGCTCTTGTTGAGATGCTGCAATTTGTGCCACAGGGATGAAATCAGCTCTTTAAAATATCCTGTGACTGCATTAGCACAGCACTGGCACAAGGATGAGAGCAAGCTGTGGTCCTGGGGGTGTGCTGCATTCTTTACGGCTGTATCCCCATTCCCAGTGACTGCCTGGCTGCAGCAGAGCAAGCAGCCTCTGGGCTTGTGAGGGGCAGAGGGAGACGTGGCCCCCCAGCTTGGCACACGGCGTGTGGAAAGCTGTCTGAACTGGTGGCCATGGCTACCTGCAGCTGCCCTGAAGCAGGGAGCTGCCCAAGCGCCATACGGTTCCCACTGGCATTTGTTGGATCAGCGGCAGCCTCGTCGCAACATTCCCCCCCCTCCCAGGCTTCAGGTGCCACCATGGTGGGTGCAGATGTGGGCAGTAGCAGCAGATCTGGCACTGGCCAGCACAACCCTGTCCTGTCGCAGCTGTTCCAGCGCAGCGCTGTGGTGACGGACGCCGCGCGCTGCACCGCGCTGGGCACCCACGTGCTGGCCAGGCACGGCTCCTCGGTGGACGCGGCCATCGCCTCGGCCCTCTGCGCCGGCATCGTCAACCCTCACACCTCGGGGCTGGGAGGGTAAGTGTGGCACATTCATCCCCTGCTCTTCTGGTGTCCTCAAGTGAGCGTTTCACAGAATCCCAGACTGGATTCGGTTGGAAAGACCTTAAAGCCCACCCAGTTCCGCCCTCTGCCATGGGCAGGGAGACCTTCCACTATCCCAGGTTGCTCCAAGTCCTGTCCAACCTGGCCTTGGACACTTCCAGGGATGGGGCTGCCTGCACCAGTGCATGGTGACCCCATCACCTCCCACTCAGACAGAGGAATATTTCTTTACAAATGCCTGTTGTAAACCTGCCTTCTGTCAGTGTAAAGCCGTTCCCCCTTGTTCTGTCACTATCTGCCCTTGTAAAAAGTCCCTCTGCAACTGAGAAATGCCTCTGTGGCAGTGCCAGGCTTAGGGTGTGGTGCCAGGGCTCTGACATCAAGCAGTGGAAGTGTCCACATCTGCCACAGTCGCCCTTCCTGTGTACCGAGCTGTCAGCACAGGACAGAGACCCCCAGGCAGGGAAATTTGTTTCTGCTGTAGTGGTTGCAGGGAGCATGCAAGCCCCAGTCTCGAGAGGGCTGGTGAGCCCTGCTGTGCCAGGAGCCACAAACACCCCAGGCTCAGTCCCAGTGCTTTCAGAGCCCCAGTCCTGCCTTCCACAAGCTCCTGAGGCTGAGGTCCGAGCCCAGCTCCAGGCAGCTGCCAAGGAGGGGTGGCCTTCTCCCAGCCCTCATACCCAGGGTGGCATCCATGTGAGCTTGGTGCTCCTGACTCTGCAGGAGGGCTCAGGAGCGTTGCATAAACCGAAGCCACCTGATCACTGCTCCAGCTGCACCACCCATTGCTGCTGTAAGCAAACACCCTCTTTTGTAGCAAAACTGCTCAGATTAGAAAGAAAATCCCAGCTGGTCCCAGTGGAACAGAGCCAGAGGCTCCCTGGCCAGGCAGGCAGGGACTGCTTCAGCCTCACCAGGCTCAGCACAGGGCTGCCTGTGTCCCGCACCAACTCTGCCTTGGCTGTCCTGGTATGTACCCTAGGGAAGGACAGCAGCATTCCCTGCTCCTCCGGCCACCCCGGGGCCCTGCCACAGCGCCCCTTGTCACACTGGACCGGCCCTGGCCCCAGTGCCACCCAAGCTATACTGCATCGGCTGTTGCGGGAGCCGCCAGTGCCCTGACCCTCTCACTCCGCAGGGGCGGGGTGATGTTGGTCCACGACATCCGCAAGAACAGGAGCTGGGTGATCGACTTCCGTGAGGTGGCTCCCCTGGGCATCCCACTGGAAGGGGAGCTGCAGCAGGACACCAAGGTGAGAACCAATATCCCCCAGCCATTGCCTCTTCTTGTCTCCAGCTCTCCTCCCTCCATCTTTCAGTGTGAGTGGCAGATGCCCAGAAAAGCAACGAGAGGTCTCTCACTTCATGGGAGATTCTGGGCCCTACAGACATGGGGAATCTAGGGAAAACACTTCTTTATCACCCCCAAAATGCCTGCAGAGCTTTGGGGAGTAAAGAACCATGTCTCTGTGGTGGCAGAGTGCCCCAGGAAAGGGCATAATCCCGGGTCATTCTGCTGGGTTCTCTCTCCTAACTAAACTGGGTTGAGAACAAGATTGAATTTGCCTCTCTCCTTCCAAAACCTTTTATTCCATAGTAAAGTGTGTTGCTACAGACCTCTTCCCCTCTCCTAACTATGCAGATAATTCCAAAGTAAACATGACTTGCACTTCCTTGACTTGCAACTGGGGACAGTGTCCCATGTCCTCATGGAAAGGAGATTACTCTCTTCCTTTTTGTCCTTCCTATTTTACAGCCAGGTCTGCTCGTGGGGGTACCAGGCATGATCCAAGGAATGCACCAGGCACACCAGTTACATGGCAGGTAAGACATGAGGCTGGCACAGGCTGTGTCCTGGGGGCCCTGGGGGAAGCTGGAAGCACACGAGCCCTTGCCATCAGACCATGTTCTCAGCCACCAGTCAAAACCATTAGCTAAGAGGTACTTGGAGGCTTGTGTTGAAACACATGTTTATTTTTTGATATTTCATGTACAAAATTAAAAATTCAGCTTCATCATGTTTTCTACAAAGTGACATTTTGGCTAAGAAAATGTACAATAAATGTTCTGTTAGAGGTGCAGCACATTGCATGTCTGTGCATTTTCATTCTCTCTTTAGCTGGATCCTAAGAGGTGTACCTACACTTGGTACTCTGTTGGGATACAGAGGGATCCGAATGACTTGCTCAGGACCAGAGTCCGGCTTGAGATTTTGCTGCTGAGACACCCCTTCCCCTATCCATGCACTGCCATTCCTCTCAAGGGCACATCCTGGAGCACTGAGATGATCCTGTTAAGGAGAAACACAAGCACTGAAAACTCAGTGCTCTTTTTGGCCAGGCTGGCCCCACAGCCTGGTCTTCCAGGAGCCCCTGACTGCAGGGCTGTGCCCTGTGCTTGCTCCCCACCACCCTGCCCCACTGCACCTTCCAAGGCCAGTTTCTCCTTGTCCACTCTCCTTTGGCAGACTCCCGTGGTCCGAGCTGCTGAGCCTCACAGCCGGTGTCGCCCAGAATGGCTTTAACGTCACACATGACCTGGGTGAGTACCTGCTGGGCAGCTGGGGATGCAGGGGGTTAATCATGGCAAATCAGGGCCTTGTGGACCTGGAGATGGATGGTGTTGGGAGCTGAGCACAGTCTGCTAGGGGACAGCATGGTGCCAGCCAAACAGGAGCCTTTGCCATGGCTGGGCAGAACCAGGGCAGAGTAGCCACGCTGCACAGTGCCCAAGGCCAGGCAGGGAAGGGTGCTGGGGTTTCTTTGGGGTTTTTTTCCAGTTCCAAAGGACCCGTGATCCAGCTCCTCTCTAGTTTTGCAATAGGGCCAGAGGCAGCAGCAGACCTTCAACATCCCCATCAGGTGCACAGTGATTCCAGGTCCTTTGCACCTTCCTTAGCTCTGCTTTTTCGGGATATCCTTCCCCTTCTCACCTGCAGCCAAAGCCCTGAGTGAACTGAAGGACCTGAACTTCTCTGACCGATTCCACGAGATCTTCCTGCCGGGTGGGCAGCCCCTGCTGCCTGGAATGTTCATCCGGCGCCTGGACCTCGCGGCCGTGCTGCAGCTGCTGGGGACAGAAGGGGTGTCAGCCTTCTACAGCGGAAACCTGACCCAGGAGATGATCTCCGAGGTGAGCCAGGACTGCCCCTGTCACCTGCTGGCCTGGGGCTGCCACCTGCTTAAGGTGACAAACTGGAGATAAGCCAAGTGCCAGCACAATGATGAGGACAGATGCCTCCTTTTCCTTTCCTGTCCCTGCCTTGGTGTAAGTGACACACAAGCCATTCCCACAGTCTACAGAAGGGAAACTTCCATTCCCTCTATAACCAGGACAGTCTGGAAGGAAAACAAAAATCAGTTTGGGCTCTGGGCTCTGTTTATTTGGGTGACAAAGCCTTTTCCCCCAGAATGAGAGGGTGTTTAGAAACAAGTTGTTGTGGCTAATGGGGCTGTAAGATACAGACTCCAAGAAGATGGTTTAAAAAAACAACTGTGAGTCTTGTGAGCAGAGGATTAAAAAGGCTTAGTCCTACTTGGAGTTGGCCTAGTTTAACTCCTGTTAAAGGTGCTCTGGAAAAAATATCTGAACAGACAAAGTAATTCGGATGAAAAAAGCCCCCAACAAACCATAACAATTTTTCTATCTGTGTGGCTGCAATTGGGGTAGTTGGGGCCACCATGGTTCAAGTTGTGCTCCTTCAATAGCTTATCAAGAATCTGGAATGTGTTCATTCCACTCAAACCTCAGGCATCTGTGGGCTCTGTGTTTGGAAATCTACAATGCACCTGAGCTATAGCAGAGGTGAAGGATGAGGAGCAGGAAGAGTCTCAAGCTTGTGAGCATCTCCACAGCTAAACTCTGCTTTGTCACCGTGTTCCCCTGACCTGGGGACTGCCACAGGGAAGAACAGATTCCCTGTGGTGGAGCAAGGCCCAGGGTTGCCACATCACAGACCCTGACAAGCTCTGGGATCCAGTGCACAATTCCAGCTTTGGTTGCAGAGCAAAGTGCTACCTTCACAAAGTGTTTATTGTTCCAGCACAGGGAGGGCATCCATCTGCGAAATCAAGAACAACTCCAAAACACCCACTCTTTGCTTCCAGGCACAGGTGCAGAATAGTGCTCTCTGCGGAATTTGAGATGTCTTCAGTGTATGACTGACTGGGGCTTCTCCCCTTTCTCTGCTCCTTGTGCCCCATTCCCCACTGGCTGGGTCTGGGGAGCCAGGTTGTGGCTCAGCACAGCCCTGGGGTTCAACCAACCTTTTCTCAGGGAAGGAAACAAGGAACCCAAGTAGGAGAGACATCTTTAGCAGCTTTGGGGTTGTTTGATATTCTGGCCCCACAGCATGCCCTGCACTAGCTGTCCTGCTCCAGTGATTCATTCAGTTTTGCCAGAGAAGGAGTTTTCCTGCCAAGGAAGCTGGCTGAGTTAGAGATCAGAGCATGCAGACGCCCCAACAATCCCACCCTCTCCCTGAGAGCATTGTCCAAATGCTCGTGGAGCTCTGGCAGCCTTGGGGCTGTGCCCACTCCCTGGGGAGCCTGGGCAGTGCCCAGCACCCTCTGATGGTCCTCCCTTATCTCCATTATGACTCAACCACAGACGACTGGCAGTGGAGGGAATGGCCCATGTTTCCTGTGTTCATGAAAATTACCAACCCTGGTACATTGTACCTCTGACAGGAATTTTACAGGAAGGCTAAGGCTACAGCAGACCCACTATCAGCTGAAATAATTTGAAATGGGCTGGGAACAGTAATTTTTTTAGCTGAGATTTCTAGTGATGGCCACCTGCTACGCCCAGGCTCCTTGTCTCCTGGATCCATAGTCCTGGCAGTATTCAATACCCCTTAACACACTCCTGTTTGCCAGCCAGGGCAGGGAAGGCTGCAGGGCAGGGCCAATCCCCATCTCCCTGGGCAGACAGAATGTCCTGGGAGCACCCTGGGGTGGGTGAGCTTTTGGAGGTGAGTGTAGAGCCTCCTTGCCATGCTGAACAGTGAGCCAGGTCACCAGGGCTGTGAAAGCAGATTTCCAGGGTATCCTAAGGAACCTGGCCCTTGGCCCAGGAACCTCAGTGGAGTGTGTTTGAGGGGTGTGTCCCTCTGGGCCAGCACACGAGGAGCACAGAGAGCCTTGGCCCAGCCAGCTCAGTGTGCACTGCTTTACTCTCCTGCAGGTCCACAACTATGGAGGAGTGTTGGTGGAGGAAGATTTCAGCAATTACAGTGTCATTGTGGAGGAGCCCATGCACACAATCTATCGAGGTACACCCTCACCCATTGCCATGCAGCTCCAGGGGAAAGTTCTCTTCACCTCACAAGGGGTGGCAACAGCATTGAACAACAGCTGAAGTCAAAGCTGTGCTGAAATGTCTGCAGGAAGACCTTCCAGGGAGTTTTCTGCTGTTCCCTGCTGACACTGACGCATCATGGGTGGTTCAGGAGATTTTCAGCACTTTGAAATGTTTTTTCCCTTGAAAACCTAAAGATGCAACATGTCATACCTTGATGCAATGTCTTAATAGAAGCTAGACCTACAGCTGAAGACAGTTCCCAAAGGGAAAAAAGCTAGCTTGATGCAAGAAGTTTCTAAAATGTCATTCTTTTCTAGCAGTCCCTGTATTTACCCTCCATATAGTTGCAATGTGCAAACCCATTTTTTAGGTGGCCTTCCAATATGTAAAAGGGGTTTATAAAAATGGGGGAAAGTGACTTTTAGCATGGGCAGACAGTGACAGGACAAGGGGAATTATTTCAGACTGAAATAAAAGAGATTTAGATTAGATGTTAGGAAGCAATTTCTCCCTGTGAGGGAGGTGAGGCTCTGGCACAGGTGCCCAGAGGAGCTGTGGCTGCCCCTGGATCCCTGGAAATGCCCAAGGCCAGGTTGGACGAGGCTTGGAGCGACCTGGAATAGTGGAAGGTGTCCCTGCCCGTGGCAGGGGTTGGGACTGGATGACTTCTAAGGTCCCTTCCAACCTAAATCAGACTGGTTTTCTATGATTCTATCTCCATTCTTCCATACTGAAGTCGAGAAACCAACAGCCAACCAATAAGACCTGAATTTCAGAGGTAAAAATACATCCCTGTTTGAACATCCTTCATCCTTCATGAAGAAAAAGAAAGATACAGCAGGGATGTTCTGGGAAACCCATCTCAAATCATATTGCTTTCTATAATTTCTCCTCAAATCTGGAAGGGTTTCCCTGTCCTCAAGGTCACTGACTCATGGACGAGTGTTTTCACTGGATGGTATCTGGCAAAAGCAGCTGCATTCCTCTTCTCTTCCCTCCACACAGGGCACCTTGTTTTCACCCCCCCACCTCCACATGCAGGTCCTGCACTGATCACAGCACTGAACATCCTCGAGGGCTTTAACATCACAAGGCAAGGATCCAGAGGGAATATCTTACACTGGATTGCAGAGGTAAGAGGAGGTTCAGCATTTGGCTGAATTGCTTGTGCTGCTAGAGAATGACTTATTTATTTTGTGGTTGTACAAAAGTGTTTGTAGGTTATTCCCAGAGGAGAATGAGCAAATAGACTGCTAAGATGTAAAACTGAGCAGTGCTGCTGTCTCAGAGGCTGAGCAGGAGGATCTTTCCTTCTTAGGAAGAACTTTTTCAGAACAATCTGTGGTTTTGTCAATTTCTTCTGTATGATCATCTCTGCAGAATGACCCCACAGCAGCTGAGAGTGGTCAGTTCCCCCACCTCTTAGCTGCTTAATGGCCCTGGCCATTGCAGAGCACCCAAGGGCACTGCCAGGCGTGCTGCAAGAAAAGCTCTCAGACTGATAACAAGGAAAACTGACCTGATACTTCACTTTTTTTTAAAAGTTTTTTATTTTTGCCCGCCTCCTGATCGCTGAGATCCAGAATTTTTCCAGTATTTAGGACTGTCCTGTCAAAACATTGCAGCTTACCAGAAGGTTGAGCAAGTGCTCTGTAAGCAGAATTGTGCTCTTAGATGCTCCACAAATCCACAGGTGGGGTTTATGTGTTGGTAATTTACAGATTCACAGCTGGCCTTTCATGAGCTGGGAATTTTAATTGAGGATTTAACTACATCCTTGTAGCAGACAGGACAATGGGTGATTTGGAGTGTATCAGCAAAAATGCAGCAACTGGAGGTGTTACACACTGTGCAGAGGCACAGGAGGTTGAGTCACCTGAGTAATTTTTGAGCTCTCTTCAGGAAGCTTTGGGTGAATATTTGCTCTGTTGGTTATCCTGGAGCAGCAACATCCAGCTCCAAGGCAGTCCCTTCAGGAGATGTGTAACCCTGATTGCCTGGGTCCCACAGCTGAACATGTGGCTGAGGTTCAGTGCTAAGCCAGCTTCAGGTATCCAGCCCTGGGACAATCAGGACCAAGATGTCCTTAACCTTTGGTTAACTCTGTGTGTTTCCATGGAGCTCTTCCCTGGCCTCCAAGCCCTTGTCCCTCCCAACACGATGTGGTGGTCAGGACACTGCTCCATGGAAATGCTGCCTTTTCCAGAGGTTTATCACATTCTACTCTCCACACAGTTCATAGCCAAGGAGAAGCTGCTGCTGTGTGGCACATTCCAAACCAGCTGTCACATCTTGTTAGCTGCCTGCAGGAGAGGGGCCTGTTCTGGATCTGAATGACCATGGCATGATCTGCGAGCTGAACATTGAGTGTGTTTCTGCTTGCCACAGCCTGGCTTGGCTGAGGAGCTGCTCTCTCTGCTCGTGGCTCTGCCCTGGCTATGCTGTAGTCCCAGGGCTGGATAAACTGTGTCCTTTGAAATTGTGTCTTCTCATTTTCAATTTTCAGGGAGGATTCTGCCTGTTTGAGAAACCAGATCCTTTCCTCCTTTTGCACCATCATTCCCCAATGTGTGCTGGGACTGATGCTTTCTGTTCAAGCCGTTTGGATGGTTTACAGCCAGGAGCTGGGCAGCAGCTGGGGAGCAGAACAGCTCATTTCTGCTGGGCCAGCAGAGCTGGGATCCAGAGGCAGCAGCAAGCCTAGCACCCCCTATCCCACTGGGATTCAGTCTGGTCTCTGCTGTTGTGGTGACCACCCAGGAATGGAAAGAGAAAGTAAATGGCATCGTGAAGACCCTGTCTGCCAGCCAGCAATGAAGCTGAACCACTGAGCTGGAGCAATCAGCTCCTGCCAGAGATGTTGCACTTGTGACTTCCCACTGCTAGAGAGACAGGTTAAGTGGGATATAGGGGAGAAATTCTTCCCTGTGAGAATGGTGAGCTGCTGGCAGAGGTTGCTCAGAGAAGCTGTGGCTACATCCCTGGAAGCATTCAAGACCAGGTTGGAGAAACATGGGAAGGTGTCCCTGCTCATGGCAGAGGGGTGGAATGTAATGAGCTTTAAGGTCCTTCCCAGCTCCAACCATTCTGTGATTCTGTTGTACAAATGCTGCTGGATTCGCTTGGCTCCCCCAGCACAGTTTGCCATGCCAGACTGAAGCTCTTTGATTCCCATACCCACATGTGGCAGCCCTTTGCATTGAAATATTCCCAGAACCCAGGCTTCTGGTAATTTTTCTTCATAAGCTTTAGCCAAGACACCAGGATACCAGATACCTCTTCTAGTTTGGAATTTCAGAAGTTGTCTTTCCAGGGCCACATTAATGTTCCTCTCCTCTCCTCTCCTCTCCTCTCCTCTCCTCTCCTCTCCTCCTCTTCCTTCTCTCTTCCTCTCCTTTTCTCCTTTCTTTCCTTTCTTTCTTTAGACACTAAAAATAGCCCTGAGTCTGGCAAGCAACCTGGGAGACCCATCTGGTGATGTGTCTGTCACTCACACAGCAGAAGGCATGGTGAGGTATGTCTGAGGAAGACAGGCACGGTGACAGTTGCAGGATGTGTGGGTTGGATATCATTCCTGGGTTTGCTGTGCCCTGAGCTTTTTCTTCTTCTGTTTTATGAAGGAAAGGTCAGACCTTAAGTGTCCTCCCAGGGCTCATTCTTTCACAAGGATCACAGCTGATACCACACGGCTGTGGGGATGGGTCACAAGATGTCCTCATTCAGAGGTTTCCTGGAGCCAGTTTGAGCTTGAGTGTTCCTCCTACTGTGCCACACCTCTAAACATTCCCTTTGAGTGGGTCAGACAAACAGCCATCCCTGTGGACATGGCCACACCTGCCACTTCTGCCTCTCCCTGCCCCACTGTGGGGCTCTGGGCTTTGCAGCGCACCCAGATGTACAAGAGAGGCCAGGCCTGGGGTTTCAGCCCAGCCTTCCACCTCGGAGCCAGGGTTAGCCACAGCTGGTGACTGGGCTGGGCCTGACTTGTCCTTCTGCTGAAGACTGACATTCAGCTGAGGTTGTCACCTTGGCCATTGGGGGTGGGTTTACTCCTGGTGAGGGCAAACAGCAGTAGACAGAGCCTTTGAAGGTTCATGGTGGACTGAGTGCCTCTGTGCAGACTGAGCCACTTTGTCACCCCTTCCTTCCTTGGGGTGAACCAAAACAGCCCCCTGTCCTCATGCAGCTGTGTAGAGACACCAGGACATGTCCAGCTCCCCAGGCTCACAGCTTGCTTTCCTCTCTCCCTCCCTACTTGCTGAAGTAAATCAGAAGCCAGCTCCCTGCGCCAGCTGATCAATGACTCCCGGTCCTTCCCGTCCGACCTGCACGTGCCTCACTCGGCCCCGCAGAGCGGCACCGCTGCCAGCCAGGTCCTGGTCATGGGCCCCGATGACTTCATTGTCGCCGTGGTGAGGTAAAGGACTGGCCTCCCCCCTCCACAACGAGCTCAGGGTATGAGCAGGGAGGAGGAAGAGGTTCAGCAGGGCAGGGTGGGACCAGACCTGGAGCAGCTGGGCTGCTTTGTGCCAGTCAGTCCTGCAGCAGAGGAATGCGAAGAGATGGGGTTGGGATGTGTGGGCTGGTGCTGCTCTGCCCTGTGCAATCTTAGATCCCTCTGACAATGAAACGTGGCTGGAGTGGCCTGTATCTGCTCCCTGGGAGAGAGGTGGTGGCAAATGTAGGACTGATGGAGGCAGATCCATCACAGCAGAGGGAATGCTCAAACACGGGGAGGGGGACAGAGCTGTTGTGACATACGTGGCTCCTGCTCCTAAGTGCATGGAAATTGTCTCTCCTCAATCTCACCAGCCCTAGAGAACCACCAAAGAATCTCTATCAAGACAAGGTGGAGCCCTGAAAGCCTCAAGATGTACAAAAATCTCTGGGATGATTTTTATGAAATTGCTTTGTGCTTCTTTTCAGTTCTTTGAATCGTCCCTTTGGCAGTGGAATAGTAACACCCTCTGGAATCCTCCTGAACAGCCAGATGTTGGACTTCTCCTGGCAAAATAGAACAATGAACCACTCCATTCCCAGACCGGTAATGAATGACATGACAAATTATTTATTTACCTTTTTTTTCCCACCAATTTTATTCTCATCTTCACAACAGGGGAGCTATTTAATTCCTTATTACTAACAAAGACAACAGCCTGTAGAAAGCTGCTATTTTTCATTATATGAGCCACTGAAAGTGGGAAAACAGAGGGCTCCACGTCCATCAGTTATTATTGCAATGTAGGATTATCAAACACCACTGTTACCTACTTTCCCTGCAGTCCAGATGCACTTTAAGTGAGTGTGGACTTGTATTAAGCACCTTCTTCATGAATAGTTGCTCTGCAGGTTAAAAAGTAACAGCTAGCAGGAAAAATGTCTTCAGGTCTTGAATAGAAACAAATGTAGGCCTTTGCTGGGGTGGTTCTTTGGAAGAGCTCCATGTTCCTTCTGTGGGAGAGCTGGCTTGTTGACATTTTTTGGTACAACTTTTTTGAACTGCAGCAAAACCTCCTTCAGCCTCGGAAGCGGCCGCGGTCCTTCCTGCTGCCCACCATCGTGAGGCCCTCTGAGGGCATGTGTGGCACCTACCTGTGTCTGGGAGCCAACAACGGGGACAGAGCCCTGAGCAGCATCGTCCAGGTTGGTACTGAGTCCCCCCAGAGCAGCTGGGTCCCCTCCTTTCCCTTCCTGATTGTCCTTGGGTGTGTCAGAACTGGTCGCCACAGGTTACTGGTTCAATCTTTGGTGTCACCAGTTCCACACTTTGGTTCTTTCAAATCTCTAATGGTTACCAGTTTACTTTTCTTGCACTTTTCCTGCTGGCACCACTCATTATTGTAGAGTAGCATCATTTTGGCAAAATCTAGAATGGTTTTTGTCATTCTAATACCTGTTCAAAACTCATCTTAAGGATGATTAAGAAAAAAAGAATTTTTTTTATTCAGAGAATTGCAGGAAGCTGGCAGCCTTTTAGCCCTTTTCCACATGAAAAGCTCCTTGTAGGGCATTCCCAACTGAATTCTTCCAGCTCTACACTGAATATAAATTGGGCAGTTCCTCTTAATTTATGATTTGTAACGAAGTGAAGTGCTTGCCAATAGCTTGATTGCATGTGTGGCAGTAATGGACTGCTGAAAAGAAAAGCCCAAGAAGGGATCCCAGTTTCCCTAGCTTTTGGAAAGCATTATTCAGAGCAAAACCAAAGCCAAGAACTTCTTCCTAGTGCTTTGTTTGGAGAGGTCACATGCTGAGCATTTGGCTGTAACAAACACTTCTTTAGAGCTTACATCATGTTCCAGACACACAAGCCCATGCTATCCCGAGCATATCCTGCTTTACAAGCAGCAACATACAGGCCCTGTTCCAAGGACTTCTTAGTGTGTGTGCACCTCTGCAGCAGTTCATGCACTTTACTAAATGGTTCAAAATCTCCTTTGCCTGCTGCATGTGCAGATGTTGGAGCCACCAACATCTGGGGATGCTCAGGAAGTTGACTTCTCCTATTCTCATCACTTTTAAAATTATTGAGGATAATTTATTCTCTTGCAGGTTTTGGTAAATGTTTTATCATTTAACAAGAATCTGAGTGAAAGTTTGTCACTTGGTCGACTTCACCCCCAGCTTCAGTCCAACACCTTGCAGGTTGACAGTGAGTATGGACACGGGGTGGGATGCAGCCTACAGATCCAGCAAGTTTAGGACAAGAGCAGGATTTTCCTAGCACACTGCAATGGAAGTGCCACAGGTCACCATGTTCTAGGGTCCCTAGGGGTTGGAGGGTTTGGGGGAAGACAAAAATCAGAATTCAACTTCTTCAAAGCTTGGAGCCTTTGCTGAGCCATGTCCTTTCCCTCTTGTCTTGGGAAGGCTTCCTGACCCTTCCAGCACCACCTCTCCAGGTTCTTTCAGGTGCTTCTCCCCAACCCTCCCTCTGTCCCATCTCATCTCCTGGTAGTGGCCTTGTCCTGTCCTTAAATCCTTCTAGAGATCAGATGTCATGGACAATATCCAAATCAGTAAGATTTCAGCCTCAACTTCACCCAGACATTTGCTCAAAGCTTTCTGCACTGTATTCCCGTGGTCAGAAATTATACTCCTTCGCTTTTCAGTCCATGTCCCTTAATTCCAGAAGCTGGGAAGAAGGCAAGGCTTATGACAAGGCCTGTAGCTTGACAGTGCTGAAAACACAGCATCAGTGCTGGCACTCTGCAGTCTGTATTGTTAGCTCTAGTCCTTGTTATTATATGTCTTGGTCTATTTGTTGTTTTTCACACTGCCCCAAACTTCACCAGAGTGAACCATAAGTGAAATTTGGTTCTTATTCCACACCAAATAGCAGAAGTTTCTGGGCTTTCCCATTTCAGAGGAACAATCTGAAAAGGATCTGTCCTGCAGTGTGCCCTGCAGACTTGGAACTAAAATGGAATTAAATCTAAAACTTCACGAGGTCCTAATTTGTGAGTTTGGACATTTGGCATCAACAAGATGCATGTTAGGACACAACATATAAAGCTTAAATACCAGGGGGGTTTCCATGTCCCTGCTCTGTTTGTCCAGCTGCACTCCCAGCTCCAGGGCCTTTGTCTCCTCTACTCACACAGAAGTTACAAACCATCAAATGAACCAAATAAAAGCAGAACAACAATCTGAGGTACATGTCTGGAAGATTAAGAAATACGTGTGGGGGAAGTTGGGAGGCTTAGCACAAAGTTTATCATTTGGCAACTTGTTTTACTGTTGTTTATTTTGAGCTCTCTTGCATCTTATTTTGACTAATAATTGTTAATACTCTTATTTGTAACTAAGAGTGGGCACATCCTCATGTTCTCTAAGAAGAATAGCTACAATTCTTGTCAACCACATATCTTCCCCTTCTTCCAAAGAGGACAATCTTCCACAGCTTTTAATGGTGTTGTAGATCCTCCCATAGCCCACGGCACAAGCAGGGGCTCCTGGCCCTTGGCTTGCCCAGCTGGAACCTTCTGAAGGGGCTGCAGGCAGGTTCCCCCCACTGCACACCCCAGCAGTGTTAGACAGAGCTTTGGATCAAAGGCAGCACTGGTTTCAGTTACCAACTCCTCTTTTCAAATCCCTGCAGGTGAGTTTCCTGAAGAAGACATTGAATTTCTTGTGGCCAGGGGCCATCAGGTGGATAAAGTCCCAGTGGTGTCCCTGGTTCACGGGGCCAGGAGAACCAACAGTTTCATCATTGGCCTGAAGGACCCCAGGAGTGCAGATGCTGCTGGAGCCACAACCTTGTAGCAGCTCCCAGGGCCGTGTTCTGTGACCAAGGCTGACATAACCCCAGTGATGTGCATGTTCTGAAGTGGCCCCTTCTCCAGCCCTGCACACTTCTGGGAAGAGGTTCTGCACTCCCAACCCTGACAGTACCAGAGGACAGCACCAACATCCACCTCTCTTTTTATTTCTCAAGTATTTGGATTGCAAGCAGCCCCATCCTTGTTAGTGGAGTGGCAAGAGCACTTTTCTTTTGGCAGTCTTGCTAATAGTTCAGTCTTCCCAAAGCCCAGTTCTAGCCAGCATCTTACTTTTAGGGATCAGGAGCATGAGCAAGGGAAAAAAAAACCTGCTGCTGCTGATGGATGATTATTCTCATCTCTCTGTCTTTCCCAAGTTCCTTCGTTGACTCCAGTGTAAGCCAGTAATTAATACAGCCTGATGTAGTGTTTGTTGGTGCCTGCAGCTGGAATATTGGGGTGTCCTCTAATACTCCATCTGGGCCAGCTGATTTTTATCAATGTGCAGCATCCCTGAGAAGTTCCTGTGCTCACATCATTACATACTTTCAATTTTGGCAGTAATTATTTTGAACCCGTTGCTGCACAGACTCACTGGCAATCTGATTTTGTAACCAAAGCAATGGTTTTCAACAGCTCTACCAACTTCTTCCTCTAAGAACTTGTGCATCCCCCAGTAGTTTTCTTACAGAGGTTCAGCCTCATCACTGATTAATGGTGACAAGGTTTAACTTTATTAGACACTTTTTGGAGATATCTTAGCAGTACTCCACAGAGTTGTAAAAAAACACAGATCATGGACTGAAGACCACATGGAGAGCATTTGGATGAGTTCAGAGCTTTCCCTCCACTACCTTATCTCAGCCTGTCCCAAAAGTCTGGGTCATTCCTACAGAGAGGCTTGGGAATTTCTGCTGACTGAATTAATGGCTGTACCTTAGCTGCGTGTTTTAGTCCTAGTGAATCTATTGGAAAAGCTGAAGAGAGTGAGAGAAAAAGTACAAACCAAACCAAGCACTACCAAGGTAATTTGCTGTCCACAACATGTAGTGAAAATAAAAGAATGCTCTTGAATTTTTTGTCTGAAATTGAGAAGGGAAGAATACCCCAGCTGACATCTGCACCAGGTCATTCAGCCCACATTTGGACATTTCCTGCTCTTTTTGCTAGCAAGTTAGAGACACTTGGCACTAAAAAAATCTGGAGTTTGATCATTTTCTGCAGTCTAAAATGTGATGTTCTCCTTCATGGTGCAAATGCACCCATGGCCACTGTACATATTATATATGTATGTCTGCTTATGGTTGTCTTGCTCTTTGATTTGATGATCATATCACTCACCCCGACCTTCCTCCCCAGGCACCTGTGACACCTTGTTTGTGCCACCCTCTGGTGCTCAATGCCATGGGCTGATTTTGGGGTAGTCAGGGCCACAGGGCAGATAAATGGACTAATTGTTCCTGCCAAATGAGAGCTGCAGATCTCAGAACATCCCAGTGAAGCATGTTGGGCTGAGTGAGAACAGAGGTGTTTTCGTGCTCTGCTGAAGTGCAGCCACTCATGAGAGGAGCACAGCAGCTCCCACTGGCTGGACCATCAGCAGCATTTCCTGTTCCAAGTGCATCCGTGCCCTCAGCTGGGATGGGGGAAGCACAATGTTGTATCTGCAATGTGCCCTGTGCCACCAAGAAGAGACTTTCTTCACCACAGGGACACCAAATCTATTTATTTATTTATTTCTCTGTCATCAGCACTGGAGTTGGTCACTGCCCAAGGGGAGAGAGCTCGTAAATTCCTGGAGCAGACCTCTCCAGGCTCCACGGGAAGGGAAGGGAAGGGAAGGGAAGGGAAGGGAAGGGAAGGGAAGGGAAGGGAAGAGGGCAGTTTTGTGTGTTGAACCTCTCTGGAGATGATCTGGCGGTTTCTGATCTGTCCTAGCCCAGATCTGTTCCTTGGGTATGGAGATTCTCTATGAACAGCTGCAAAATATGTGGTCGAGTCACTCTCAGTGCAGGACTTTGCATGAAATGTCACAAAACACTTTGAAAGATTAAATTCCTCCTTTTTAACTGAATTCACCAGCTTCCAATGCTGGATACTGTGTATATGTTTGGGAGTAAATGACTTTGGTCTTGATTCAAAAGGGCACTCCTATGTCCCAAAGGGCAATTTCACAGAAATTATAAGAATCTTAAAATAAAGCATGCTCCAAAGTGTTCTGCTGGATCATGGCCTGCATTGCAAAAAAAGAGAAAATTGAAAATAATTGGAAGATGAGGCCCATGCCCCTAGGTTTTGACTAAGAGAAGTAAAGGTATTCCAAATTATTTCCCATTTTCTTCTGTTTAAAAGCAGCATCAGTATAGCACAGATGTATCCAACATGGACATCTGTAATTCTCTAACTGGTGCTGTGTCTCTAGTATTTTGAGCCCATCTGCTGTGATCTGATGAATTTAACATCTAACGAATTTAAGATCTGATAAATTTAACATGAGGTATCAAGAAATACCTAATATTTCCCTCGGTACAGGTGAGATGGACATTGTGAAATAAGGGGGTGTATTGCAGAGATGTGTGTGTGCAGCATACCTGTGCTGATTTCAGCCTGGCCCTTGCAGGCATCTGACAGCTCTGAAGCAGAATTTGTTCTTTCTTATGAAAGTCTCAGTGAGGAGCTCAGAACACAAAATACAAAGGAGCTGAGTAAAACAGTAACGATTTTAAAAGGAACAAAATAAACACAAAGAATGTAAATACATTTTTAAAAGATGCCTTTATTAAATGTGACAAATTATAATCTGGAATGTGGCCAGCTTGTTTCTGCCGAGATTTGTAGTGCTCCCCATCAGTGTGTGCTGGTTTCACCTGAGGATAAGCTGGAGCCAGGCTCTGCAACTGAGCATCAGCAGTTTATCCATGTTCTTCCCAAGGGCTGAACCTCTCGAGCACAGGTGACAAACTGCCTGGTGGCTTTGGGTACTGCTGCTCACCTGGGCACAGTGAGCAGCCAGAGGGGGACAGGACAGCAGGCAGCACTGCCTTCCTGCAGCACAGGGATGAGGATGCTTTGGGGTTTGGGCTGTGCCATTCTGGTCCCATCACTGTCCCGTGGGTGCCCAGACCTGGAGAGAGGCTGGAGCCTGTCTTGCTCCCAGCACTCCGGGGCGGGGCAGGGGCTGCTGGGGTGGTCAGTCACTGCTGGTATGGCTTGGCACAGCACAAGGGACCCCTGAGCACTGCTGTGAGACCTGCTGAAGAACAGCCCTGGGCACAGCGGTTGTTCCTGCGCTCCAGCAGCTCCAGCAGCGTGTCCTTCCCCCCGGGAAGCAGTGCTGCCGGGGGCAGGGGAGGGCACAGAGCAGCGGCTGCTGCCAGAGCTGGGGCAGCAGCTTCGGGTTCCCCCTCTCCAGGGGTGATGACCAACGTCCTGCAGCTCTGCCAGTGTCACCCTGAGGGGTCCCTCAGCTGGGGCAGCAAGTCTGAAAGTGGCACTGAGTGTTGGCAGGCCGGGTCACCCTCCGAGTACCTGCTGGAGACTCCGCCCAGATCATCTCAGAGCCTCCTTCCACTGCTGCCCAACTCGAAAAGGCTGATCCGAGAGACAAAGGGGAGTCAGACCTCTGTAAACACCCTGAGAGGAAACTTGCATCTCTTTTATGAATATCAAATTGGTAAAGTTTTGCAAAGAATCAGATGGAGCAGGAAGATCTCCTGTAGCACCCACGTGTTTCCAGCAGTTTCGGAAAGCTCTTCCATACCTCAGTGATGGAAATTGGCACCTAGACAGGGAAAAGAAAGCTCTTTGCAGAGTTGGTTTCAGAGAGGCAGGGCACCATTAAAAAGGAGGCATACTTGTGTGCCGGGCAGATGGAGTACGAGCACCAAAGCATTTACACACACTGCCCTCAAAGGGCTCTCCAGTGGTCACAGCATTTTTAGGAGCAGATTGCCCTGGCAGAGCTGACCTTGGCTGCCTGTGGGGAGTATCCCATGTTAAAATAGCTCCTAGGCAGCCATGGACCTTCACCCACCAGGACTGTTCCTGGCTTAGCCAAATTCCCCACCCAGCAGGTTTCACCTTTCCATATCCTCAGAGTCGAGGAGAGATTAACTCCTGTGTAACCCTGCCTTGCCCACCACATCTGTTGCAAATTGCCCACCTCTCTCTTTCTCACCACACAGTTTAGCAAAACACCAGCTCCAAAGTGATAGTGACTGTAATGCAACAGATCTCCCTTCCTTCCCTCCGAGTGAGCATTGTACCAGTGTTAGAGGAGAAATTATTTTGTTCAAGTATGCTAGTTTGAAAGCAAACCAGTGAGAGATCCCGAGTCAGAACTACAATTTAATAGGAAAATTTTAAAATGCAGTAGTACAAAAACACTGACAGAGTCAGAATACAACCTGACCGACACTCTGCCAGTCAGGGTGTTGGTAGCAGTCCCATTAAATGGTGGCTGCATCCTCCTGCAGTGACAGATGTGGTTCAGTTGAAGCAGTGGAAGAATGCTGATCTGATGTTCCAAATCTCAGATTTTATTTAGGTAGGAAAGGCTTGGCTCCTCCCCCTGGGTGGAGCATTTCACAATGGGATGATGAAATTTTATCAGTCATGCAGTGGGATCAATGGCCCATTAGCAGAAGATATCTCCTGGAGGAAGGATGGGTTGTGGAAAAGATAAAGAACACTGCCCCACCTGGTTTCAACAGATAGTAATAGAATACATAATTCTGGTTACATCTTGTATTGCAACCTAAGATATCAAGTCATTTGTCTGTGTAATACCTGTCATTTGAAAATACTGCCATATGAAAATGTATGTAAATAAACCCACGATTTTGATTGTCATGGTATCAAATTCATTTGTGCTCTGTCATGGACAATGAAGCAGCTCAAACACCTGTCTCTGCTGCAGGTAGTCCTCCTTCCCTTCTGTAACATTGTTTTGCAGCAAAGCTTCAGCATCCCAAACAAACTGAGGGTCTGCTCTTGGATGAGTTCCATGAACAGAATGACCAAAAAAAATCACAGAATGGTTTAGTTTGGAGGGGGGCCTTAGAGATTATCCAGTTCCAGCCCTGCCATGGGCAGGGACACTTTCCACTATCCCAGGTTTCTCCAGGCCCTGTCCAACCTGGCCTTGGGCACTGCCAGGGATGGGGCAGCTACAGCTTCTCCTGTGTTGTTTGTGCTGTACAGAGCCTAGGCAAGACCCAGGAATACCCAGGCTGGGCAGTAAGCTCATCTCTGGAGATCAGCCCACAGCACACTTTGCTGGGATGTGGTGTGGCAGGTCTGGAGCTGTCCCATGTTTCTTCCCTCTCACCCCTCCACATCACATTATTCCCTTTTCTCCACTCCATGCCAGTGGATGCCAAGGCTACCTGGGGTCCTTCAATTCCCAGTCTCCAGCAGAGATGCCTCAAAAATGTCATTGATTGTGTCCTGTCACTCTGGTGTCCCTTCAGCTCCACTTTCCCTTTGCTTACCCTTGTGACAAGGCAATTTTAAGAGAATTAGGGTTAATTTTAATTATGTGGGGACTGCACCAGTTTTGGTCTTTCCCAAGAGTGAGCAGAAGCATCAGAAGCCATGGGAAGCAGTGTACTCTGAAGAGTGAAGTGGATGTACAGGCCTCAGGCTGCTAAGGAAGGGAGGGCTTGTTTGCAAACTCTCTTTGAGATTAGGCACAGGGAAATTGTCCGTGTGGGATCTCTCAAGCCGAGATCAGAAAGTCACTTGGATGGCTTGAGCAGATCTCGATGGGACACCTCAGTATTGTGCTTCTAGAAAAGTTGGGTTTTGGAAAATAGCATTTGGCTAGTTCTTGTTTGCTGAGGGATTTGAGATGTGCCTAGTATTAATGTGCATAATACAGATAAAACCAAGCAAGCCAAGAATCCTGAGGGACAATCTGGCATGACAAGCACAGCAACAGGAGTGGGAAGTTTTTTGGAAGATTTTTGGAAGCAGTGCTCTGGTGTCTCTGTGCTGAGGGGATGCCTTTTGGGGAAGATGAGGCTGAAGGAGGAAGTTCAGTGCAGCTGGTTTAAGAAGAGTCTCACGAAACAAGGAAAACATTAAGTCACTTGGGGAAGAAAGGTTAATTCTTGGTACTAAAGAAATTTTCTCTCAGCTTCCTTGTGTTTGCAGCCAGTCCCAAAATCCAGGAGCAGAGCTAGACAATGCCTGGGAATCATCCCCACAAAGGCAAATGGAAACTCTAAGAGGTGACCAGATGAATCAAACGTTCCTCTTTCCTACCGCTGTGACTGATCCCCATCTCTTCTGACCTGACATCTCGGGGGTCTCGGGGGCTTGGGGGGCTTTGCCCTTGTCTCAGCACACTGAAGTGCTGGGATTGTTCCCCAGAGAGTGTGGAAGACACAAAAAGGCAGAGAAGGACAATCCCTGGGTGAAGGATTCCTCACCCTCTGCCAGCAGGGAGCCTGAGAGCCGAGGAAAGCAGCAATCTGCCTGCAGCTCTGCCTACACCAACCCGATTTAATGGTCGAGACAAGTCCAAAGCTAACCATGACATTCTTTTGTTTTGGTGGGTTTTGTGGGATGCAGTTACATGGGGATTTATAGAGTTTTTCTTTATGTTGCCCAATAAGATGTGGGTTTGTTGTATTTAAAAGGTTTTACAAAATAAAAAATAAAAAGAAAAAAATCCCTTTTTTATGTCGTTTATCCAGCAGTATTCCACATGAAGCCAAGGGTGGCTGTGAGGGCTGTCTCCAGCTGCACACACTCTCCTGAAACCCCTCCTTAAGCTACTGAAGCTGCTCAAGCTACTGAATCACATGTGCCTTTTAGGAATAAAGTTTTTATTTTCTCATAAAGGACTTTTGATTGTTTTCCTACCCTGAAATAAGAATTGCCACGTGTGTCGTTTCTTCCTCAGTACCAGGCAAGGGCTTTCTGCCCATAGCAACGATGGGCAGGAAACCAGACATTTCAGAGGTCTTGTATCAATCATTTCTCTTATTAATAAAGGATGTAGGAAGAGACAAAACAATGGGCTGTGTGCCCTGTGAGGGTCCCTTCAGCTGTGGAACCCCTATATGCTGAGGGGATATTTTAGGGATCTAGCATTGCCCCCCTGGGGATTTTGGGCCCATAGGCCTGTTCATTAATCACATGAATGGGCTTTTTATTAAAATTCTGCATTGTGGCCTTTGGTGAGTCCATACCAGGCCATTGCCTGGCTTCTTCCCCATCTCCCCGCTGGTAAAATGAAAGTATAATTCAGTGATATTCAAAGAGTCTGAAACCTTTGTATGAAACGTTCTGAATGAAAATTCATCAGAATTAAAAACCTAATTTCCCGGAAATTTCCTATAAAGGCCCCAGTTATTATTTTTTCTTCAGCTTCATCCGGCAGATACTTTGTCCCCATTCCAGAAGCAGCCGCTACAGAGGGTCCCCTCGCGGGAGGGGGAGCGCAGCGGGAGTCCCTGTGGCGAGGGGTGCGGCGGGGCTGCCGTGTGGGGCCGGGCCCGGGGCCGCGCTATCCCCGCGTTGTCCCCGGGGCTGGGGCCAGGCTGTCCCCACGCTGTCCCAGGGCTGTCCCCGCGCTGTCCCCATGCAGTCCCCATGCTGTCCCCGCGGTGTCCCCATACTGTCCCTAGGCCGTCCCCACACTGTCTCCGCGCTGTCCCTGGGGCCGGCCCCGGGGTCGCGGTCCCCCCCCCCCCGCCCCCGCGCGCTCGGGCGCAGGCGCGCGCGGGTCACGTGCGCGGCGCAGGCGGCGGAGCGGCGCTGGAGTCCCGGGCCGCGCGCGACCCCCGCCCCGCGCGCCCCCGCGGCCCCGCGCGCGCCCCCGGCGGCGGCGGCGGGTCCAGGTGAGGGGAGGGCGGGGCGGGGGTCGGGACGCGGCGGCGGCGGCGGCGGCGGCGGTGGTGGTGCTGGGGCGGGAGCAGCGGGACCGGGGCCGCCCGGGCGGGGCGCAGGCCGAGCCCGCGGCGCGGGGGAAGGGGCGGCGGGGCCCGGCGGAGCTCGGAGTGGTGCCGGGCCCGGGCTGCCGGCGGCGTGTTGACGGTGTCGGGGCGCCTGGCAGGAGCCTGTCAGCGTGCGGAGGAGCCGCGGCGCCGGCAGAGCCCGCCCGCCCGCGGCCTGTGGCCCCGCGGCGCCCGGCGCGGAGCCGACCCTGCCCGGCCCGCACTCGGCCTCGGCCGCGCTCCCAGGCCGCGGCTCGGCCCGGCCCGGCAGGGAGGGAGCGCAGCCGGGCCGGCAACGCTGTCAGGCTCGGGAGCTGCCCGCGGTCCGGCCGGTGTGTGTGAGCCCGCTCCTCAGCCCTGACCTCATGCGGGCGGTGACGGCTTTGTGCAGTGTCAGCCGGGGCGCGTTGACGTTTCGCTTTTGTTCGAGTCCTCTGACTCTTAAACCAGTCGGAAAAAGGCTCTTCACTCGCCCCTCCGTGTGATTTCTGCGTTTGTCTAAATTTCAGCTACTTTAAAACCATCTCAGAAAGCTGAGGGCTCTGATTCCTTCCCGCTGCTTTAGGGAATGGAAGGACAGAGCTCCTCTGTGGGTCTGCATCCTGGCAGCAGGTTGGAGCTTCATGAGCTTTGTCTCTCCCTAACCCTTCAGCCTCCTCATAGACACATGTTTGCTCATTCGTCTCACTGGGAACTGTAGTAAAACCTCTCTTAGAAGAAAGATCGTGCCTCTTGTTGGTTTTATAATTATTGCATATTGTTCTGACTGGTGCTTTGTCTAAGGCACCTTTCGGTATTTCCTATATGTGAAAACAACCACAAAGAGCAAATCTGGCATTTTCCATAAAGGCTACTAAGTGTAATAACCGCAACTTTTGGGTTTGGCAGCTCTTTTCGAGTTATAGCAAATGGCCCCAGCTTTTCTGTATATGTTGTGGAGAGAGAAACAAAGGTTTCGAGGCGTGTGTTCAGAATGGCCAGATCTGGGGCCTGGGGACTGCTCACAGTGCCTGCAGCAGGACACCGAAGTGTTTGCTGGAGATTCTAAGTATCCACTGAGCCATGTGGCTTCCTCTGGAAGTTACCCGGCTCCAGGAGGAAATGTGTCACAGTAACACTGTGACCGGACTCTCCTGTGAGAAGATCACGCATAAGGGGCTACACGCATACCTGACCTTCAGCAGAGAAATTACGTCTCTTAGTATTTTAAACCCGAGGAAGGGTCTTCTGTTAGGCGTTGGATTTGGGCTGGAAATCTCCCAGCAGCGCTCTCCAGTCATTCTCTCTGGAAGGCCTGTCCCTCTGTTGGACTTGGAGGAAGGAGTTGTTCACAACAGACTTCCAGGTGATGGAGTATTTTACATTTTTCTTGTAAAAAAGTAGGTGCTTCTCTAACATAAGAAACAACTGTGTGTGGAGAAGCCAAAGAATTCCAGGTCCTTGTGCATCTGGAAGTGTTGCTGTTTCAAATTAAATATTTGAAAATACAGGTTGTGGAGGTAAATTCTGCTAAACAGCTCTACTATCACTCTGTGCTGCTTGAGTACGACAAAGGTTCCTGCTTTTGTGGGAGATGTTAAATGTTTCAACATGGTAACTAAACCTTAAATTGGCAGTATATTTTGATTTTCTAGTACAATAGCAATTGCTTTCAGATGAAAGCTGGAGTTACAACCCAACTACACAGACTCACTAAATTGAATAGATTTGCAGTGGCAAGGAGTTTGCTGCTGAAGGGATGCAAGAGTTAATGTGGCTGTAACGATTTGCATTGAGAATGGTGAAATTTTATAGGTCGCTGGAGAACCTCTGAAGGGCAGAAGGCGTGATGAGGGTGTCTTTCAAAATCCTGTGGTCTCTGTTGAGAAATGCAAAGCTGTGGTGCAGGGACTGCAAGGGAGCAGGAGGCCTGTTGGCATGTAGGACACTGAGCAGCTGGGCTTGACCTTTGGTGCTGCAAAAACTGCGCTCAAGCATAAGCTTTTTCCTTTATGCACAGCTGGAGTAGAAGGAATGAGAAAGAATGTGTAATGCTTGGAAAAAGTAAGGGCCAGCCGTGGAAGGAGAAATAACCCCAGATGATACTTAGCTGAGGCAGCAGGGAAGATGCTTCATCAGGTGAGGTGTTTTCCATCTCCAGGCGAGTCTCCATTTCCACCAGCCAGGCAAGCAAGTCACCTTTGCTTTACCGGAACTGTGGATATTTTGTGTTTTGTCTTGACACTGTTACAGACTCTGCTGTACAGACCTCTGGAGCAGGTCACTGATGTTCTTCAGCAGGAGCCACCCACTGATTGCAGATAACTGAGCGTTTCAGCCACGGAGTCAGCGTGTTTCTGCAAGGAGATCTGGAGGTTTAGCTCAAGACGATGAAGATAACTTAGATTGTCTTGTGTCCTGGCTAATTAGAGTGATGCTGCTGGTGTTTAAAGTTAATCTAAGCTTTGGATTATACAGGATGGTAGTGGAAGTTTTCCAGAGGTCCAGGAGCTGGGGATTTTTCACTGTCAATCAAGAAATCATTTTCCATCCAGTGGAACAGCATCCCACCTGCACGCTGAATGGCACATCAAAAATTGCTGCTTGTAGTAATCAAAAATACAAATAAGTACTGAATTGGTCATGTATATGTGAGAGCCCTGAGGCTGTAACTCAGTAAATAACTCTTCTTTATGCATTTGGGGAAGAAGAAAGGCAACCAGTGTGTCACTGCTGGTTTGGGAGCTGGAGTGAGGAGTGGAGACACATGTGGGACTCCACAGATCGTGAGGGCCATTGTCTTCTTGGAACTGAGACCAGTTGCCTGCTTCTCCAGCTGGCATAAATGCCCTGAACCATAGCCCTACACAGGGCTTTGGATTGGATTTGTATGAAAATAGAAAAGCATGGGAAATGAATGATACCTTGTCTAAATTAATTTGTGCAAACTAATAATTTGGGGCAGGAAGTTGCTTATGTTCAGTTGCATATTTGGCACCCCAAGCTTTAGGTCTGATGGATGAAGGGGCATTATCTAGTTATTCCACCAAAATAAGCATGCTATTGAATTCTCCAAGTCCTATGCAAATAATTTTAATTTTATAATTTGTATTGTTTTGAAAATCAAATTATCTGCCATGACCACACAGCTGGTGCAAGATTGTGTTTCTCATTGTGGTTTCTGTGTGGTGCTCACAGTGACTGAGTTAAGCCTCCAGTCTGCATTTACAGAATCCCAGAATGGTTTGGGGGACACCTTAGAGATTACCTCATTCCAACCCCTTGCCATGCATGGCAAAGTGTTTCTTTGGAGAGTTTTTTGGGAATGCTCTTCCATCCCTGCAAGAATGCATTGCTCTCCCGTTCTGTTGCATCCACATTTTATCAGGAGCTGCTTATGTGGTTCTTAATGGCAGCAGTGACAATAAATGACACTCGAAATTTGGTTTTTCAAAAAGCCAAGAGCAGCACAAAATAAACTGCAAGTTTTTATACAGTCAGGAAACTCTCAGAATTATCTCGGTTTTAACCAAAGTGGTACCTACGTCTGTTTTATGAATATTAGTTTTTTGGTCAGGAAAAACTATCTCCTTGATACTGAGTGTCTCCTATCAAAGAATTACTTTTAAGCTAGTTGTTTTATCTTCAATTCTTTCTTCATCCTTTATATAATTTCAAAATTCAAAAAGGAATAATATTGCAAAAGGTACAGTTTTTAGTCAAACCTTAGTTCAGTGCTGATGATCACATGAATTTCTGGGCTGGTTGTATTGGCGTTTAGGAAGCCCTGTGAGAATTTGGTGATAATGGAGCACCTGTGGGGTGTGTCAGCCCAGAAAGGTCTGGTAGTGGTTAAATTCAGGTTTAAATAAAAAGCTTGTTGAAACACAGAACCCAGATTGCTACTTGAAAAGGTGTTTTTCATAACTTTTGAAGGCAAGATCAAATACAGTCAAGATGGTCCTGATTTTAAATAACATCTCATTTTGTTTGCTGATTGTGTTGGTGGATCTTTGTGGAAAGTTATGTACTGCAAAGCTCTGTCAGTATTCACAGTGTGCTTCTTCCAAATGAAAATATCCTTACTATGAGAAATTAGTAACTCAGCTAATGGGAATTGATTGACCAAGTACTGTATTGAGAAGATTGCAGCATCCAAGATAATTGCTGATTCCCATTTCCCTTGTGCCTGGCAGCTGCCTTGGTTTGTATCTCAGCTGCTGAAAGGGATAACTTCTACGTGGCTAACTTAGCTGCTTATTCTGGAGTTATCATCCTGCTTTTCAGAGCAGTCCTGAGCATCTCAGCAATCAAATTCTGTTGGAATAAAGCCAAATGGCTCTGTGGAGGTGTGTCTATTGCAGCTTGGCATGAGTTGTGGGCTTTCAGCAAACTTCATGAAACTTTAACAAATGGATGTTTCATTAAACCTGCTGTCAGACTACATCAGGATATCACTGCAAAGAGTCATGTATGTTATAACAAGCTGTAATTTTCTCCTTGTCAGAAACATTTGGGTTTCAGTGTTTTATGCTTGAGGGCTATGGCAGTACAACAGACCAGTGTGAGGAGCAGTGGCCAGTTCTGTGTCAGTGTGAGCCTGCCTTGCTGGAGACTAACTCGGTTTGTTTTCTTTGTGTTTGGGAAAGCATAAACTCTAAAAAGTCTTTCAGTAGCTGGAACTGTTCACAAGGCTGTTTCTGTGATTTAGTGGGGTCTGCTAAGGTGTGTGCTCAGTGTCCAGGTCTGTCAGATAACTTACTGTAGTGAAAGTTGCAGTTAATGGACCCAATGTTGATTGCTTATTTTCCTTAGTCAAATTTGGTCTCATCCCATATGCACAATGGGAATGGAGACACCAGCAGGTTTGGTTTTTTTTCTTCTTCCCATAGCCCAGGCTGACCAGGCTCTCTTTCTCACTGGATCTTGCTAGAGCAGCCTGTCTTTCTTAATCCTTCTTTGGAGCAGTTGGGTGTCGTGGTGAGGGACACTCAGAAGGGAGATCTGAAGTAACAAAACCCCTTTGGTTCCTTGCACCAAGGAGCTCAGAAGGTTTTTCTGCCCTCACTTCCTCACCCTTTAGCCAAAATCACCCTCACCCTGCTGGGCTAAGGCACAGGTGCTCAGCATGGGGACTGGCTGCTGCACCTTGGAGGCTTCCTTAAAAAGAGCTTTTACAAGGCCCAGCCTTTCCTGTGAAGCCTTGGCCTGGCTTTGGAGGTAACCAGCCAGTTTGTTACAGGACTCAGCTTTAGGCTCTGGACCATCCTTTTATGAAAAGGGTGAAAAAGTAGAATGCTATAGAATGTGAAAACCTTTTTTTAGTTTTGTACAATTTCCTATTTCAGATTTTGATTTTGCCCCTCAGCCTGGTGTCTGGTCATGGTATTTAGGCAGGTACATATAGCTGGAAACAGGTCACTGCTTGTGATTAGTCAGCAGGCCTTCAACTCAGTGCTATGCTTCTTGAGTTACAATTACTTAGAAATACAAGAAGATATGAGAGGTTGAAAAGTATTAGATGACCATTAGAAGTGCTGCAAAGCATATATGGTGTGATTTAATGTAAAACTGCTTTCCTTCTCTCTGAGTTGCTGGGTTGGTGCAAAGTGCACAGGCTACAGCACAATAAGGCTTTTAAAGCAATTTTGCTTTGTTGTCTAGATAGAAGACAACAAATCTCTGCTTTTTCTTTCTGAGTCTTCTTCCATTTTCTGCTTCCCCTGGTTTTGGGCAGTCCCCTTCCCCAGTGATGAGCAGGCAAGCATGTCAGCAGAAAATCTCCTTGAGAACCACCCCTGGGCTGTGCCTATAAATCCCGTTGATTCAAGGGGCGGTGTTTTGTTGTCCCGAATCCATTTAGCTTTACTGCTGTGTTTTATGATCCCAGGAGCTGGAGTGCAGTTTGGTGAGCCCGTGACCAGGAGCAGGGGCTAGGAATGGATTCACCTCTCCGTGTTGGCCACCTGCAGCAACAATGTCTGTCTGAGGTGGTCCTGTGGGCTCGGAAAGTGCTTCTGGAATGAGCTTAATCTGAGCTGGTTTAGACACCTACTCAGGATGAGCTGAGGGACCTCCTGGCTGTGCCAGTTTCCCTGTTCTGAAGATTAGTTTAAGCTAGATGAGTTTGTCCTAAGACTTAAATAAATACATTATTCTAGATAGAACTTGCCCTGTTTAGAAGAATAGAATGTAATTTCCAACTGAATGAAGTATTCCATTTTCTGCCCATAATGAAAGATTGATTTTTCAAGCTCCTCAGGTTTTGCTGTTCGAATCTGAGCATAGTAACATGTTTTTTACATTGCTGAGGACAGTGTTTGACTGGGTGCAAAACTGCATATTAAAAATTGAGCTATTATGTTCAGTATTTCTATTATTTTGCATCACTGTCTGATGAAATGTGATGGTTTTCTTTCAGGATTCCATATTTGGGAGTTGCTGTTTAACCATGTTTGCCAGTCTGGAATTACCTGAAGTCCTGTTGCACACCCCAAAATACTGAAGTTGTGAAATTTGTTTTGGTAGGTAAAGTAAGCGTATGATACATCTGAATAGCTCTCATTTTTCTGCATTCTCCCCCTGCCTGTCCTCACTGCTCTATGTGCTTACAGGGCTGGTCTGGCTCCTGAGCTGACTTCCCACTTGGTCATACAGGCTTAGGGGATTTGCCATCAGCTTTGTGGCTGCTCTTCCCAAGGAGAACAGTTGAGATGCTTTAGTGGTGTCATTCATCTAACATCAATGTTGGAAGTTTGAAATTACTGGAACCCTGGCTAAGTTGTTTTAGAGGAAATTTTAGGGCATGTTTAAGTTTATTTTTAGGTATACTTTCATATTGTAACAGTGATTCTTAGCCTTATTTAAGACACTTGCCTAGAATTTGTTTATAAGTTTTGTTGGGTTTTTGTTTTGTGTGTGTTTTGTTTTGTTTTGTTTTGTTTTGTTGGGGATTTTTTGTGTTTTTTTTTTTTTCCCTAGAACCATGATATTATTTTAATCTTTGTATCACAGAAGGGATATGAGTGTCTAGGTTTATTAATTGCTCAGGTTTAACAAGCTCCAAGATCGCTAAGCTGGGCAACAAAAAGAAATAGTTTTAGGAGGATAATACACACTGTTAACAAATCTCCAGTAGAGACAGTGTTGGGATCAGTGTTTCTGGGGTTTATAGGTGCTACACTATAAAAGCAGCCTGTGTGACTGTGTGCAAAAGAAAGCCATCCTCTCAGCAGTATTCTGGCAATGCTGAACCTCTTCTGCTCCCATCATGAAAATCTCTACATATTTTTATCACTGGCAGCTAAAACAAAGGAAACAGAAAACATTACATTGTATTATCCAAGACATTCTTTATTCTTGACTTTTTTTTTTAATTGCTAGAAAACCATTTTCAGTGACAGCAAATGCAATTTAAATACTTTAGAAATTACATTGCTACTACTATCCAAGACTTTTCCTCCATACTCTCAATTCTGGTTTCCCCAAGGGATTTGGCTGTAACCTCATGTCTTTCTGTTCCCTGTTGCAGCTTTAACTAATGGTCAGTGTGAGGATGAAGACACTGCTTAGTGCCAGCTTGTGCCATCTGCTAGTGAAGGGCATCAATGCATCCTTCCTTCTGCTCTCATCCTTCTCGATCTTTTGTGTAATTTGAAAGAGTACTTGTTGAGATGTAGAGCATTATTTTAGTACTTTTTATTTGTTTTGGGAGAGTGCATGTTCTGGTGTGACATCAGTTGTGCAAGTGTTTATTTTGAATACATTAAAAAGCTTGTAAACCAATAGACTGTGGCAGAAAACCTGGGACAGGTGGCCAGACTAAGCCTTGGTTTGGTTTGTGTGCTCTGTGTAGTGCAACAGATAGGGGAAAGCAAGACAAGAGGTTTCAAGTTCTGTTTAAGAGACAAATTGGCATAAGTTGGGATCAGTTGATGAACCTTGGGGCAAAAATACCAAAATATCAGTTGGGCTTTTTTTCCTTTGTGTTGTTTTTTCACTCCAGAGACCAGCACTTCCAGGTGCTCCAGAGCCTGCCAGCTTTCTCATGTTCAGCTGCTCCCTGGCTCTTTCAGATTTTGCTCTAATCACATTTTTCCTGGGGTCTGGATGGGATTTTCCAAGCCTTGCCCAGACATGTAGTGCTGGGTTTGTTGTGCAGGCTGCCTGTCAGGCTGCTGGTGGGGACAGCACAGGGCATGACAAAATGCCTCAGGGCTCCTGGTGGTGTGTGTGTGACCAGCTGTCCATCAGCCCGTGCCTCAACTGTGCTATCCTCTATCCTGTGGGAATTCTTCCTCTGAAGAGTCTCTGTTTTGCACATTTTAGTGGATCAGTTGTTTTATCCATAAGCTGAATGTGCCTGGAGCTCCTGGCTCCAGCAGCCCTGGGTGTGCTCTGCATCCTTCAGGTTGGACACTCTGGTCTTCATGGGCTGAGCTCTTCCACCCCTGTCCCCATACAACAGTGCAGGTGTATTTTGGCCATTTGTCTGTTATTCGGCTGTTTATCCCCACCTTTCTTACTTCAGTTAGGTATTTTTAATAATTAGACTTTACTGAATAAGACCAGCTTTGTAATAAAGAGGCATAACGCTGGTTTTGCTGCTGTAGCCAGTTCCAGGCCAGGTTTGAGGGTAATGGTTGCCATGTGGTAGCCCTGGCTCTGAGTTTCCAGGAACAATTAAAAAATGGGAAATACTAACTTGGAAACTCTAAAGGAACAGGTGCAGGGACAGGAAGGAGGCTATGGGTGCTTTTTGAAGAATGATGTGCAGATCAGTTCAGCTGTGGCTCTTACTCATCAGAGACCCTCCACAGCCTGCTGGGAGTTCTGGTTTACTTGGATTATTGAATGAGCAGTGTTTTACCTGTGTGTGCTTATGCTGAAGGCTTTTTGTGTTTGTGTGGAAAGAGTGTTGAGGGAAGGTACCTGCTAATTATGATCAAGTGCTTACTCAAGATTTATGGAAGCCAACTCTATAAAACCATGAGATTTCAGAAGTTGTTAGGATGCTGTGCAGCTGGGATTCATTTGCTCTGACATGGATGGTGTGCTGTGCACTGCCTCAAAAGGAAAATTTTGCAAATCATCACTTTCTCATGTTGTACCTGAGATAAATGATGCCTGAGTACAAGAAAGGACTAAATTTTGTGTGTTTGACAGGGAAAGAGGTGCAGATGAATCTAGCAGAGATCTTTGAGATACATGATGTAAAGAAAAAATGCAAAGGGAGCTGTAGCTATATGTGCTGATCTGGGAGGTAAAATGCAAAGCTTGGTCTTGGTTTGCTTCCTTCACTCACAATATCCCTCTGGTCCTGTGATTCTCTGAGTCAAGTGAAACAAGCCTTGTGGTCCTTTGGGATTTAGAAAACTCAATTTTTATAGTGCTTACAAAAATTTTTATAGTGTTCAAAAAATCCTGTCAGATTTTAGCACATTCAGATGAGGTTGATAAAATTTGGTCTAAGCTGCAGTATTTTTAAGAATTAAAAACCATGATTTAAGCAATCTAGGGGTCTTCTGTTTTTTCACAGGGAAGATGGGGGCTTCAGACACCTCCATTCAAAAAAAAGATTTGAAATGTTTGTGTTCTTGTAGATAAATTCTTATTTCTTTGGTGTTATGGATTGTCAGGTGTACTCATGTTTCTTGCTGCAGGTGCAACACCCCATCACCTCCAAGTAGCTGTACCTTTTCAACATGTATTTTGAGCTGGGGTTTCCCTCTCTAAAAAATTTACTTACCATTTTCTGACAAATAATGTTTTATGTAATTTTCCTCAAAATATAGTGCTTATATTTCATGAGATGCTTGCCTCATTCCTTGCACAGAATGGCTGTGTTTGGTCATTAAAAAGGCTATTTGTGTAGGACTCTCAGCTCCTCTCTCCCTGAAGTCAGTGGATGTGGAATGAAAGATGTAGGAATGCAGAAGGTGAAGGACTGCTCTCCTTGTTAGTGTAAAGCCAGCTTGGGTAGGGAAGTTACCTGTCCAAGAAACTGTGTGAAAACCAGTTAAAACATCTTTTCACAGACTCCTATTAATTGTGATTCTCATTATCTGGGCACCTGACATGAAATTGAAGAGTTAGCCGTAATGGAGGTGCCAAACACTTGAAGCAGTAATTTAGAAACAAAGCCAAGCAACAAGGGGGGAAGGGGAAGATTTAATTGTCTCTGTGTTCACTTGGTAATTAATTTTTAAAATTTAGTTCTCTATTTAGTTCTCTATTGCCCATCTTTAAAGTTTCCATGAGAATAACAAGTATATGAAAGTACAATAGAAACAGATGAGCACCTGTGAAACATTGAGCTTATTTTCTGATGCAGGACTGCATAAGAACTTGTAAGACAAAATTCCGTTGGTTTTTAATCTCAGATTTGAGGATGAAGGCTGATGCTGCAGGATGAGAGAGAAACTCCATGTAAAATAGGGTATTATTCCTTAGTGCTGTTGGATTGCCTGGAGTGGGGTAGGGTTGCAAGGGAGAAAAAACCCCAGTATTTTGTTAAGTCTAGTGAGTGTATGTGTAGAGATCTGACCAAAAGCTGAGGGGAGTTTGTGAGTTCCAAATCCCTGATTTTCCTTTGTAATGTTGTCCCTTCAGCCGCCTTGTGTGAGTGTGCAAATAGTGCAGAGCTGAATCTGTGCTTGTCTAACATTGTTTGATTTTTTTACTAGAAAAGGCTGTTTTCTGGCCAGTGTCTGCAGCTCACCTTTAATCTCAAAGTTGTGGTTTTAAATTGTGTTGGGAACTTGAACCTCTGCCAAAACCCCAATCTCTATCCTGTTCAAGGGTATGTTCTCCTGAGCTAAGCCATCTGGGTGGATTGTGCCAAATACCCACAGCTTTGGAGTTATGAGGTCTTGACAGCCCTGGCTGGTGAATGGATTTGATTTTGACAGTAGTGGTTAGGAACAGGTCCCTTTTTTTAGCTGTTTCTACAGATCCTTTGAATCTTTTAGCAGTATTTGCAAAGTGCTGGGTGTTAGAGCAGGTGTCTCACCTCAAAAGGATAGTGCCATTGCCCTCGAGACTGAGTGGGAAAATGTGTATCTAAACATTGTCCACTGTAAGTTTAGGGATAATTAAATCACAGATTTTACTTCTGTAACAGCTTAGATTAATGCCATAATGTCAAAATTTATTGCAAAATTTAGATATTTTATTAAGCAAAATCTGTGAGGTGTGGGACTTGACTTACTGAATTCATTCTTATCTGAACGTGATGTGGAGGCATGATGAGAGTTGTGGGCTGTGACAGGGGGAGCAGATTTCAGTTGTTAAGCTCATAAGAAGCTGAAAACACCGAAATCTTTAGAGACTTTAGGAAAGTAGGTATAGTATGCCTGAGATTTCTCTGGGTGTGAGTGAAATATTTGTCAAATGCTACATTTCTCCTGGTAAAAATGTGCTGTGGTTTTCTACTGCTTTAGATTGTTGCATCTGCAGTCTCTAAAACTAAATTTGGTGGTTCTTCCTATCATTCTATAATTCAGCTGTTGCTATGAGTTTTAGTCTCCTGGCAGTCAGGCGCTGCAGCATTGGCACCAGGTGCTTGCTTGTCCCCTCTATGATACAGAAATGAATATAAATAATTTTCCTCTGATTTTTTTATTCTTTACCTTCCTTTCTACCTGTCTGTCTTTTAGATCAACTGGAGTACTTCTCAAGTCACGTGCAGTGTGATTCTGCCAGGAACCCCCTCCTGTTTGTCCTCGTGGAGGAACAGCTTGGACATTGCCATGGCCACCATTGTCAGCCTCACACAGTTGGTCTCACAAAGCCCAGCACTGGCTCACCAGGTAGGTTTTTCTGTCAATGACCAAGTTGACCAAGTGCAACTGTTGATGTTCTTATGCAATTATTATTGTATGTATTATAATTCTCTTTTTTTCCCTTCCAAGCATCACCTAGACGTCTGACAGGCTCTCATTGTTGGAAACAATGGTTTTGGATGATCTACCTAACTTAAAAGACACATATGCCTCCTTGTACTTCTCAGCTATGGAAGACTTAGAGGTGGATTTTGATTCAGGACTGGAGGAAGATGAACTGAAACAGGAGGCTGCTCCTGGGGATTCCACTATCTTTGTAGCTTTTAAAGGAAATATAAGTGACAGAGACTTTGAGCAGAAGCTGGATACCATACTGGAGAATGTGCCTAGTCTTTTACACATGGGTAATGTACCTTCTTGTCACTTTCCAACTGTCCTAAAAATGCTCATTTAGGTAGTCAGGGTAGTTGCACAAAAAAATAGATTATATTGGGTTCGAGGTACTTTGTAATGTTATTTGTTGGGGTTATTCTTAGTGAATTTGCAAGTTATTCTTCACAGAAATGCAGTTGTCTTGTCTGCAGTTGTTTTGTTATTTAAAACTGATTTATTTAGCAAGTTCATTCATTTCTCTTCTGCTTCCACATTATACCTGGTTTTATTCTCTTTCATGTCCCTCTTCTTGCACATGGCTGTGTTATACGAAAGTCAAACCAGGCTTGTTCACACAGGAGTTGTGTTTTACTGCCCAAACTGTTCAATTTAAACTACTGCAGTTCATCTGAGAATGGGGTCACTTTCCAGTACCTGTGACATTACTGCTCTTTTCTGACCTACCCTACCTGATTGATTGGTTTGTGCTGGGGAATGGGTGGTGCCCTGACATTCCCCTGAATGCTCACCCAGCTTTGGGAACAGTGCCGTGGCAAGTCAGTGATAACAGGCTTTTTGAGACATCTCCTGTACCTGTTTAGATCTGGAAAAAGACATTTGTCCCCTGTCTTGCAAAAGGTCCTATGCTGATTACTGATGGCTCCTCAGTTAGGTAGCCTTGATTGTTTTCTTCAACAGTGTCAAACACCTTTCCAAGAAAATAGCACATTACTTCTCAATAACCAAACAGAATTTCTTTGTCGCTTTATTCCTTTCTTTCAGTTTTGTCTGTGTAGTCAGTTGGCATCAGTTTGTTGGGTTCTTGCTGTTGTTGCTTAGAGAGATAAAAAAGCTGGGATAAGATAAAAATACTGTGAAGTAATACTAGTTTTGAGCTGTACCTTACGAACAGTTGGAAGGAGATGTAAACTAACAGACCATTACTGGTGTGAAGGGATGTGTGTAATACCATAGATGAATTGTGTAGTTTCTGATGTGAAATAAATTCAGTTTGTAATGGCACGTGGTTGTCTTTGTTATAGAGAGGCATCTGCATGGTGAGTCTGTTACAAATATTAATGTCAGGATTAATAACCATGATTCAGACCTCATCCAAGAAAGTAAATTTTTAAAGTCAATGTCAAGTTGATTTGAAAATTGTCTATGTGAGAAGTTATTTAAGCTGATTCAGAGCAAAATAGAATATCCTGAATGTGGAGTTAGTGAATAACATGGGGTTATCTTGGCAGATGCAGTGTTTGAACAATTAGAAACTTGGGTACAAACACATAGATACACTGAAACTGATGATACAATTTTCCTATGTAAAATATTAGAACATTAATAACAGAAAATATGGGATTGTTCAAACCTCCACAAAAGGGGGTTTTAAAACTCCTTCTGCCATGTTTCCAGCCAAAACCGGGTTTATAGGTAGAACAAGGGTGAATTTAATAATTCCATTACTGTAGCAGCAAAAGGGGCTTGGTGAATTACTGGTGAACGAGATCTTTCTAAACAGGAATGAGTGTTGGGATTCTTAACTAACATGTTTTTCAGACTACAAAAGTTAGCAAATGTTTAGTAGATCTAAGGTTACAGTGGAGAGGCTGGCTGATGAAAATTTGGGTCAACACTTTCTGTTTTGAGAGGAACTTTCTGTAAAGAAAGATAGAAGCTGGAAACTTACAAAGCTATATTGGGAACGTATTTTTAACTATCCTTAATTGCATTTTTAGCAATCATTTAGGTAGGTATCACTTTGGATAATGTATCCAACATAACTGCCCAGCCTTTCTGCTTTTACTTTGAAAACCACTGATCTAAGTAGAAACACTCATTTGTAGAACAGGTTTCCAGAAAACCTGCAAATAAATATTTTGCATGACTTTGAGATGCTTTTTGGCAGTGGATTTGAAATACTTACCCAGAAAACTAAATAATGAGGTAGGAATCAATGAAATATTTCTAGGAGTCTATTTGCACTGGTCTTGTAAAAAAAAAAAAAAATGGTTTCAGCAGGCATTTGTACAGCAAATATTTCAAGCAATTAATTCCTGTAGACAGTTTTTTTTCCCACATTCGTCTGGTTCACAAACAAATGTACTGTATCACTGAGCTGGAGCCCCTCTGCTCTGGAGCCAGGCTGGGAGAGCTGGGATTGTCCACCTGGATAAGAGAAGGCTCCAGGGAGAGCTCAGAGCCCTTTCCAGGGCCTAAAGGGGCTCCAGGAGAGCTGGAGAGGGACTGGGGACAAGGCATGGAGGGACAGGACAAGGGGGAATGGCCTTAAAATGAAAGAGTCTAAATCTTAGATGGGATATTGGGAGGGAATTGTTCTCTGTGAGGGTGGTGAGGCCCTGGCACAGGGTGCCCAGAGAAGCTGTGACTGCCCCTGAATCCCTGGGAGTGTCCAAGGCCAGGCTGGATGGGGCTTGGAACAACCTGGGATAGTGGAAAGTGTCCATGCCCGTGGCAGAGGGTGGAATGAGATGGGCTTTGTCCCTTCCAACCCAAATCTAATACCTATAATTGTATGAAATCTGTTTTATTAGATATTTTCTTATTTTTCCAAAGTGATTTATCCATAGAATTTTTGAGTAATACTATCAAGTGATTGTATTGCCTATTGCATTGGTTATCATTTGAGTAGTTTTTTTACTGCTAACTTTTTGGAAAATCCCTGATGTGGTTTGGCAGCATTAGTTGCTGTCCACTTGTGTGGAGAAAAATCTCCTCTACCTGAGACTAAGCACTGGCAATTTTCAAAGCCAAATACGGTTTCATTTTCTTCAACTTTTTAACCAAGCTTTTTCATCAGATGTGTTTAAAAACTGACTTTGCACTGACTTGGATTGTTTTTCTTCTAAGAATCCAACAAGCTGAAAGTGCAGAAGATAGAGCCTTGGAACAGCGTTCGTGTCACCTTCAACATCCCCCGGGAAGCGGCCGAGCGGCTGCGAATCCTGGCTCAGAACAACAACCAGCAGCTCCGAGACCTGGGCATTCTCTCCGTTCAGATTGAAGGTATTTCACACCCAATCTGCTTCTAAAGCTCAGATTCAAGTAGACTCAAAAAAGCAGTTTTGTGTACTTGGTTAACATTGCAAAACTTGGAAGTTAATGCTTTAGTGAAAAAGATAGCTTAAGACTTTTATTCTTTCAAGAATAAAATTTACTAATAATAGCAATGAAGGCTGAAAATGCTCCGGGCACCAGGAACCCTCCTGAAAAAATCGTTTCTGTATGTTGACTAGGAAAGGGTTGGCTGATTTTCTTTCCTTGCTCTTTCATATGAGGCTTTCTTTAAAACAAGTTTTCAATGGATTTCACAGTTATCATATCGGTTCTGGACAGTTGTCCAGGAGCACCCTCAGGATGAAATCAAGGGTAGCTAATGCTTGTCATGACATTTGTTCTTAAAACTGAACTCCAGAAGAGTGATGTGATGTGTAAGTGTCCTTCTAAAGTGTGCAGTGGAGGTGATGCCTTTTCCTCCTTCCTGGGCATCTCTTGAATGTCCGTTTTGCGAATGTCTGTGTTCTGCTTCTCTGTCTCTTCTGTTCACCCCAACCTATGCCTTACTTTAGGGGAAGGTGCTATCAACTTGGCTTTAGCCCAGAGCAGGAGCCAGGATGTGCGGATCAACGGGCCCCTGGGAGCCAGCACCGCCATGCGCATGGATCCGGGATTCCCCATGCAGGGGGGACAAGGTAACTCCCCTCGGGGATTCCCCATGCAGGGGGGACAAGGTAACTCCCCTTGGGGATTCCCCACGCAGGGGGGACAAGGTAACTCCCCTCAGGGCTTCTTTGTGGCTTCAGACATTTAAAAATTTACTACTGGGCTAATGAAGCTCCACTGGTTACAGCAGCTATTGTTTGCAGAATTCTAATTGCCATTTAAATTAATGTCTGTTCTTGTTCTGTGCTGCCAAACCATGTCCTGTGTTATGTAAATGAATTGTTGGGTGCATTGTGTCCCACAAACATTGGAGTGATTTTGGCAGGGCCAATTGGTTTGTGTTTGGGTATTTTGAGGGTGTGGTGGTTTGGGGTTTTGTTGGTTTGTTGTTTAGTTGGTTTGTTTGGGTTTTTTACATACAGCCTATTGAAGTAGGTGAGTTGAGTGTAGTGAATTCACCTTGAAATATGCACAAATTTTCAAAATGTTCTGGTTTGTTCCCTTTATGGAAATGTGCACAAGTGTACAATAAACTGATTTAGATTAAATCCATTAGAATTATGGGAAGGATAGTCATTTAAGGACACTGTCATTGTTACTCTCTTCTTCTTTTCTGATAAACTTTAGAGATCCGATGATAAAGAAGGAATTTTTGTGTAAAGGTGTAGTTTATTAACTGTATTTTAGAGCATTGTATATTCATAAGGAATTTTTAACTACAAAACTCAGATTTGACAAAGAGTTTTTACGAAGAAAGCTAGTATCTAATTTATTAGAATAGCTGATTCTTAAGGCAAAATAAATAACTAATATTTTAGTAAATATGATTTAAAGCAATTAAACCAGGAACAGTTTTGGTCAGTTTATCTAAGATGCATTTGTAGCTGTTGAGAAGAAGGAATGGAAAGAACCTTTCAACTTTGTAGAAACTTAATTAAACAGCAGTGAAATCTTTGTCCTTACAAAGACTAAAGCATTCAAAGAAGGGCTCTAGTCTGCGCTGTGCTGATCAGCACCTTCATTTCCCATCTGCAGGTCAACAACAAAACAGCAAAATCACCAACAGGGCAACAATAGCAATCATTTTAGAAACTTACAGCTGGTGGAAGTGAAACATTGAATTTTTTTCTCTCTTGCAACACCTCAGTTACTTTCTAGTTTCAGATTTTGTAGAAGCCTGAGTTACATGTACAGCTTTGATACAATCTTGTCACTTTCAATGCTAGGTCACGCTCGGGTGACCTAGCTCAGGTAATTCATGAGTCACTAGTGTTTCCTTTAATGCTCTTTTTAAAAATTTGGTGTTGAAGAAAGAGCTACAGCATGACTTGAAGTTGTTTGTTTGATACCAGGGAGTCTGAGCTTTCAGACAGCGTGGTGTGTCCTCAGGTTATTTTGGACAAACAATTCTTGAAGTCTAAAGAAATGTTTTGCTGACAGATACAAGGTTTTCTTGTTAAAAGAAAAATTCTAAAATTCTTCTCTATGTAACTGCAAGACTTGATAATTTCTATTTTTATTTTTTAAGGTTTAATAAGAATGAGCAATGCTGCAGCTGTTATGATGTCCCAGGGTGGAAATGTGCCCTCCTCTATGGTGGCAAGTGGTGCTAGTGCTGAGCTGCAGCCACGAACACCTCGGCCTTCCTCACAGCCAGGTGGTAAAATTTAGTCATAGTACTGATCTGAAAATATTCTTAAACTTTGATTCTTCAGCACACAGGCTTGAGTGTGTACTCATTAAAGTGTTCCAGAGTAGTACTGGAGCAATTTTCCTGCCTTTCTGGGAGCTACTCTTTCTGTGAAAACCTCCCTTCCCCCTTAATGTGCTAAATTTTCAAATCATTTGGGTGCCTAATAAGTTGCCACCTTGCTTGGTATTTTGTTCAATGTGTTGAGCAATGACAATGGTATTTGGCAATGGCAAATGGCACTTGAACTGTCATGACTGAGCTTTATGTTTAGCTGAAGGTAAGAGAAGGATTAGTTCAATGAGGCAGGAATATTTCTGATGCTCTTTTATCCACCCTTTTCAGGAAGGGTAGATAGACTGGAAGGTTAAGGATTGGGAGTGTGGTGGGTATGAATATTTAGGATTTATTCTTCACAGGTTCCCCAGGGAAGTGGTCATGGCACCAAGCCTGACAGAGTTCAGGAAATGTCTGAATGATGCTCTTAGTCCTGTGATCTCTGGTCACCTGGTCCAGGTGATCCTGCCAGGAGCAGGGATTTGGACTCAATGGTCCTCCCAGCTGAGATACTCTGTGATTCTGCAGTTCTGAGTGTGTAGAAGGCTCATATCAGTCTGTAGCATTGTGGGGCTGTTATGCTTTATTTTAGAGGATATAAATTGATAAGACCTGGCTTCTCTGGAATATGAATTTTTATGCAAAGTAAGAAAATGTAAGCAAGCAATTTATCCTTTGTTGTTTTGGGATGGGTTTTGTCTACAGTAGGTTGGTTTTTTTTAAATTATTTTTCTTTGCTGTTTTATTAGATGCAATGGACCCACTCTTATCTGGGCTAAATATACAGCAACAAAATCATCCATCTGGATCTTTAGCTCCCCAGCTGCATTCAATGCAGTCAGTTCCTGTAAACAGGCAGATGAACTCAGCCAACTTTCAGCAGCTACAGCAGCAGCAGCAGTTGCAGAATCGGCCTCCCCAGCCACATCAGCAGCCACAGCAGGGTATCCGACCTTCATTCACTTCACCAGCACAGGTTCCAGTTCCCCCTGGCTGGAACCAGCTTCCTTCTGGAGCACTTCAGCCTCCTCCAACCCAGGGAGCACTGGGTACTTTGACAGTAAACCAGGGTTGGAAAAAGGCCCCGTTGCCTGGACAAATGCAGCAGCAGCTTCAAGCAAGACCATCTCTAGCAACAGTACAAACTCCTACTCATCCTCCACCTCCATATCCTTTTGGAAGCCAGCAAGCTTCCCAGGCTCACTCAAACTTTCCCCAGATGAGCAATCCTGGCCAGTTTACTGCTCCTCAAATGAAAAGCCTTCAGGGAGGGCCCTCACGGGTTCCTACACCACTACAACAGCCCCACCTGACCAACAAGTCTCCTGCTTCTTCTCCCTCCTCCTTCCAGCAGGGCTCTCCTGCCTCATCTCCAACCGTTAACCAGACGCAGCAGCAGCTGGGACCAAGGCCTCCCCAGAGTAGCACTCTTCCCCAGGGATTCCAGCAGCCTGTCAGTTCTCCTAGTCGTAATCCTATGGTGCAACAGGGGAATTTACCCCCCAACTTCATGGTGATGCAGCAGCAAAACCAAGGTCCACAAGGTTTACACCCTGGTTTAGGAGGTAAGAAGTACTGAGACCTTGTTTTATTTTAAAAGGAAAAGAAACATAAAGTGTCTAGAGCTAATGTTGCTGTTAGTTCTGAAAAGACCCTTTATGAGACAGAATCAATGAATAGATGGAGTATGGGGTGGGAATTGGTGAACGAGCATCAGCATCACTCTGTCCTGCAGTGTCACAGAGATGCCCCAAGGGTCAGGGAGGAGTTGCTGTGTGCATTGCTCTTATTACTGCCATTCGTCCTGTTGACACCTCTTCTGTTGTCTTTAAGATTTGATGTTGTTCTTTCTGGGAGGAAAAGGGAGGATTTTTTGCAAGAGTATAATGAAAACACTTTTTTTCTCTCTTCAGTTTCCTCTGTCACCATTTAGATTTTCTAGTACAGAAGTGAGGCATTGTTTTGCATCTTCCTTTCTAAGCTGTGGATGTTTCTTCTTTACCCTGTCTTTGTCACCAGTTTCTTCCCATATAAAGAGGAAAGAGCTATTGTTGCCATGCTGTTATTCTCCCTATCCTAAAATTAAGAAGTTAAGGGATGTTTTAATTTCTCTTTTGGCTGTTTCTTTAGTTTTCTCTTTGGACCAATGCACTCATTTCTTTTCCTTACTACTCCTAGAGCTCTTCTCTAACAATGAAGGCATTTCTTTTGTCAGTCCCAGGATCTCTTTTGTGTCCTTGGTGGTTTTTTCCCCTTGAGCCCTTTGTATTTCCATGCAGATTTATCATGCTTCTCTTTGCTCACTCATTTGTTCATCTTCCTCTCCGATGGCTGTTCTCAGGTCTCATACACCACTTCTTGCTTAAGCCTTTGAAATATTTCTTCATGTACTTATAAAACATGGCCCATATTCTTTGTCCACCTACACACATATAAGTACATTCTGATGTCTTGCATTCTCATGTTGTACATCCAACTTCTCTCTGAACACTGTAAGGAATTCCTGTTTCTTAGTCTACTGATCTGGACAAGCTTCTTGTTTTCACTGTTTGTACTATGAGTCTCATTTGAATTTAGATGAATTTTCTGTTTCAAGGTTCTCTTGGGATCTGCCAGTGCCCTACACTTGGTGTATCTTATTTTGTCTCCATATAGAAGCAGTTATTCATTATTTATTATAGTCACATTTCCCTACAGTTTTGCCTCACCAACCATATGTCCCCATCAGAAATCTTAGCCATGACCTCTAGTCAGTATGATCTCCATGCTTTGCTTCCTAACTAAACCTCCTACAAACAAACCTCAATTTTTTGACTTAAAAGTCACACCAGAAATAAACTATCAAAATATGTTATTTGGTCATATTGTAGACCATATTGCTAAAATCAACAATCCTGCTGTGAGCTGTATCCTCAGGTGATTTTAAGACAGGATTCCTTGGTTTTAGCAAAGCTATGTTGCTCCCACCACTGAGATTTTTGCATGACTTCTGTGCATGCTCATTCTTTGCTGAAATTTATATGTTAATTTGTCATTATAGATTTTTCCATTTTTGAGCCACCTTACATTTAAAGGTTTGGCATAAATGAATGCATTCAAACACTTTGCATTTCACACAGCTAATTTAGCAAATCAGAATTTAGATCAGATTTGGAATAAGCCAAGCTAAGACTTTCCTTTTTTCTCAGTTCAAGCATTCCTATATGCAAAACTTCTCTAAAAGTTTAGCAGAACTAAAGCTGGAGTCCAGTGATGTGGTGTTTCCATAAGTCTGTTTCTGTATTTGCAGATATATTTGGTGTTTGGCCTATAGACTTGACTACCTTGAAATACTAATTACAACCCAATACCAGATAATTAGCACAAGCAGTAAAATTAGGTGTGCAAGAAAACTGTAACTGCAGGAGGAATTGAAGTCACATTCTGGCGCTGGGTCAGGAAAAAAAGGGGCAATAGGCAGGGTTGTTTCAAAGTCTGAGGCATTGTGTGGACAGTGAGTTAAAAATAAAGTGTATTCTCCTAAATCCATCCATGCAGCTGCTCACATTGGCAGGTAGAGGGGAGGTTTTTCTCTCTGTCTCAGGGCAGCAGTGATGTTTGGATGTGCCAAATTGTGGGTGTCAGGCCACATTAGGGCCTCAAAGAATTCCTTGCTCTAGCAGCAGGAAGAGCAGAGTTATTTGAATGAGCAGCAGGTCTGGACGTGCTGAACTGTGGGGTTCCTCAGCCCACTCTGGGATGAAAAGACCCTTTGAGTGTTTGCACACAGCAGCACTGATAAGAAGTATGTACCTGGTGTGTCAGAGTTGGTGAGAGGGCACATCACTGACACAAATACCAGTTATTTCTGTTTGTGTACATGGAATGAGTTGAGGGCAGGTTAAGAGATGCAGTAGAGCAGAAAGCAGCAAACCACGTTACTTTAATTTCTAATTCCTAAAAGGTCAAACATGGACTTTTCATCTTTTCTGGATAGTAAGTTTTGTACTTAAATTGTAGTTTGAAGTTAGTCATGGTAATTGGTTCGACAGAATTATTGCATATTTAAGAACTATAAATGTCTTCGGTGGATTTTGTATATTGGCAAAGAACAGCTTCTGCCTAAGCCTGTCATATGACAGCGCAGACTCAAAGGTATTCTCCAATTACAGATTTTGTCTATTTTTTTTCTTCCCATTTTCCATACTAACTAATCAGAAAATTCTCACATTCAGGAATGCCCAAGCGGCTCCCCCCGGGGTTCCCTGCAGGCCAGGCTAACCAGAACTTCCTGCAAGGTCAGGTGCCCTCCACAGCTCCAGGAACAGCAGGCACCAGTGGAGCACCACAGCTGCAAAACAGCCAGAACGTGCAGCACACAGGTCTGACTGCACTGGGGCGTTCCTCAGCTTTTTCCATTTTCCATTTGTAGCACACGAGCCTTTTCCTGTGTCCCACAGGTCCCAAACCCTGCAACTCCTGCCGTGAACAGGGAGCTGCTGCCTGGGGCTGCAGCAGCACTCTGGGTGTAGTGCTGGATAGGGAAAAGAAAAGCATAAGGCCATTCATGTTTCTCAAAACCCAGCTATTTATTGATGAGGACTGGGGTCTGGGCTTCAGAAGCAGCTGTTGAGAAATTGAATGGAAGGTAGCACTGAAATTTGGAGGCAAGGGTTATTAAAGATACGACACAAAAGGAACTTCTTGTCCAGAAAAAAAACGTGTAATTATCTTAGAAGCAGAATAGCAAAATAATCTTGTTCTGCTTTGAAAAGATTATTTATTACTTCCTTCAAAAATTTTGGAAGTCTGCTTAAAGTGTGAAAATGAAATCTTTAATTCACAAATGTCTTCCTCCATTTAACCACTCAATTATTAGTCTTTTGGCTGGATTTTGTATACCTTGATGATGTAATTTTATCAGTACTCCACGTGCATTTATTTTCTAACCCATTATAAAGTTAATCTCAGGGTTTGAAGCTCATTTTGGTAAGGAATTACTCTGCTGAGTTAGGTGACGTTATGGAAGATTTTCAAACTTAGGTCCAGATAACAACTGAAATTAAGTTTCTGTTTTGTCTTCTGCAGTGGGATACAGGGGAAGTACCAGTCCAAATGTTTATTTGGGATGTATGATGTTTTGTTTTGGCAACTAACATGTATCTATAGAATCAAATTTTGCATCCAAGGACTGCAAATGTATGAGATACACCAGTTTATTGGAGAAGGGAGGGAAGCAATTTTGGAGTGCTCAACATTTAAAGGTGTGAAAATTCTCGTGCCACTCCAGTTAGTTTCTTACTGGTATTTCTTTTTATTTTCTTAAGGTGGCCAAGGATCTGGACCTCCACAAACTCAGCTGCAAGCAGCACATGGCCCACCAAATATGATGCAGACCAATCTAATGGGACTTCATGGAAACATGAACAACCAGCAGGCTGGTGCTAGTGGGGTGCCACAGGTTAACATGGGCAACATGCAGGGACAACCTCAGCAAGGACCACAGTCCCAGCTTATGGGGATGCATCAGCAAATCGTGTCCTCTCAAGGACAGATGGTGAACATTCAGGCTCAGGGATCGCTGAACCCTCAAAACCAGATGATCCTTTCTCGAACTCAGCTCATGCCTCAAGGCCAAATGATGGTGACACCTCAGAACCAAAATCTTGGTCCCTCTCCCCAGAGGATGACCCCACCCAAACAGATGATTCCCCAGCAGGGACAGCAGATGATGTCCACACACAATCAGATGATGGGACCTCAGGGCCAGGTCATGCTACAGCAAAACTCAATGATGGAACAGATGATGACCACTCAGATGCAAGGAAATAAACAGCCTTTTAATACTCAAAACCAGTCCAATGTTATGACGGGGCCAGCTCAACTGATGAGAGGACCAACCCCAAACATGCAAGGAAACATGGTGCAGTTCACTGGGCAGATGATGGCACAGCAAGGCCCTGTGAATGGGAATCCTTCTCAGGTGATGGGAATTCAAGGGCAAGTTTTAAGACCCACTGGACCTGGTCCTCACATCTCTCAGCAACTTGGGGATACTGCGACCACAACAAACAACGATGGGAACTTGACACAAATGTTACCTGAGGTTCCTGTGCAGCAGCCAAACATGGTGCCTTCTCATATGCAAGGAATGCAAGGAAATAACAATGCTTCAGGGAGTCATTTCTCTGGCCATGGGCTGCCTTTCAATACAGGGTTTAGTGGAACTCCCAATGGGAATCAGGTTTCCTGTGGGCAGAACCCTGTGTTTCCTGTCAATAAAGATGTGACGCTGACAAGTCCCCTCTTGGTTAACCTACTCCAGAGTGATATCTCAGCAGGGCACTTTGGTGTGAACAACAAACAGAATAACCAGAATGCCAACAAGCCAAAGAAGAAGAAGCCTCCAAGGAAGAAGAAAAATAATCAACAGCTAGAACAAACAACGTAGGTTTAATATTACAGTGTTTTTTATAAGGGGCATGAAGAAACTCCCCAGGCATCTTGTCAATATTTTATCAGCAAGTAATGGGTGAGAAAGGACTTGTATTTTATTCACGTTGTAGCAGTTTCTCTCAAGAGTCTGTCATTGGAATGTTTGTTCAAGATTAAAAATAACATGCAAATATCCAAACTCAGTTATAAACCAAATTCTACCAGCATTGTTCCTTACCTTTACTGGGTAAAGGAAGTTTAGCATGTGGCTAATGGTGCCACAGCCCTTGGAAGAGAAGGCTGCCTTTTTAAAGCAGTCTGACAGCCACGATCAAAGGGTGGGAAGTATGTTCAGAAGAACTAGAAGCCTCTATATAACATGTGCAGGACAGATTTTGGGGGGCTGTTTCCTGAATCATGTGCATATCCTGACCCATTTCTGCCTGGAATTGAGCTGGACTTCTCTCTTAGTTGAAGCTGCAGCCAGAATTTAGAGGGAAGAATGTGGTACTTTCTGGGTATGAGATTAACAAACCCAAACAGTGCTGGTCTTCCTGGCCTAGCAGAGATTAGGAAGGGAAAAAAAACCCTACAGCTATTGAGAGGGAGGAGGCCAATGGAAAAAAATGGAAACATTATGAATGAATGTGTCTTTTTAGTGAAAATACAAGATTGCAGAATCTCTTCCTTCTTTGGCCAGCTGTCCTGTAAGCATTTGCCATTGACAGTTCACTCACCCAGCACAGGATCGTAGCTGCTCCTGCTGCTGTGCCATTATTCAGCTCAAATGGAGAAGGCAGATATGCTTTATTTAATTACCCTGATGCTGCAGATGAGCCCATGGGGCGTTAACAGGAATCCACCTGATGGTACTTTGGAGGATTGTTTTCAATGAGGGAAAAATGAAAAAAAAAATTGCACAGAAAGTTATAGCACAGAAATACCAGATATCTTGTCCAAATTTATTTTAAATTAAATTCTTAGAACAAAACAAAAAGGTGGCAATAGCACATGAAGCTCCTGGTGTGGCTCTGGTTCCACCAGTCTGGCCCCTTTGAATAATCATGTTTTAAACCTGAAATTCATGCTGCCTTTCCTAGGGAAACATGTTCAGTTTAGTGCAAGGAGAAGATGGCTTCAAGTACTGAGCAACTGTTAAAAATTTAAACTTTTCCTTTGTTTATTCAGTGTGTAGCCCCAGTCTGCATTTTCTGCAGTGTCAAGATTCCTTTGTGAAGATGGAATTAATAATCTCATGGACATTTTAATTGTGGACTGAAAAACTCACATCATCTATAGCAAGTGATCTTTTGTGACAAACTAATTGGCTTAACTAGTACAAAAATAAAATGCAGAAATGCTGTAAGGTAAAGCAAATCATGCTAATTTAATAGGCCTTGGAAAAAAGCTTTTCAAGCCTCTCTTGTATAGCTGTATACAGTCATGGTATGGCTTGTCAAGTCCTCAGTGCTGCTGAGTGATCTAAGATTACAGCTGGAGGAGGGCAGAGTCTGTGGCCAGATGTGGAAACCTGGGCAAAGTAACTTGGCCAGCACCAAGTGTGGGGCCAGTCTGCAGCTTTGGGGTGACTTAGAAACCTCACACAGACACCAGTTTCTCCATCCAAATAGGTTCCAATAAAACGATGGTAACCACTGCTGTGGCAAGTGCTTTGCTGTGGAAGTGACAGAGCATTCAGAGGGAGCAGATGAGTTGGCATCACCTTCTGAAAAGAAATCCATTAATCATTAAAGAAAATTCTTCTTATGATTTGTTTTCATTGGTCTTACTGATGAGCACCCAGCCTCAGTGTGGCCTGGGAATATCAATAAATGTGTCTGTAAAGCTCTTCCTCTGAGCTTGCAAAGCCTCACAAGACTATTTGCTTATTAAAAAGTTTTCACAGTAGAAGAAATCTCAATTACAGCTTTTCTAATAAGCTATGTCAGCTCAATTCCAGCTCCTAAATAAGACTTTGAATCAGAGTTTGGTGTAATTAATGAACTAACCAGAATGTTCTGATATGGACGAGCATTTTGGTTCTACGTGCACTATATCAATATTTGATCCTTGCAGAAGCATTGAGAAGGGAGCTGTTCTTACAAAAATTCCTGAGTTTGTTCTCCAGCAAAAGGGAGACTGCAGTGAGAGCTGGCTGTAACACCTTCCTGCCTCCCTAACTCTCAGCTTCCCTCACATTGTTGGGCAAGCTCAGCATTTTCCTGCCTTGGAATTGGCAGGAGTGAAATCTGATTTGGATCCCTTTCTCTTGCATCAGAAACAAATAGGATGCTTTTCATCTCAGCTTCCTCTCTGTCATTCTTCTTCAGAAATTTTAGAATTCAGAGCAGCAAACCTTGTGTGGAAATGCAGCTAATTGGATAAATACACTAAAAAGAAATAATTTCTGAGAAATAATAACATGGTAACAAAAGTACAATTAGTAATATGGATTGCAGTCATGTTGGAATGCAAATAGAAAAGTGGCTATTGCAAGAGTTTATTCAGCTGAGTCTAAAATCGTTTCAAGGGTTTGTTTAATTGAGCAACTTTGCATTGAAATGAAACCCAGGACATTTTGGTTGTTTTAAAGTGTTTGCATCTTTGTGCTGAACCTGAAGACTGTGGGTAATGGGATGTAAACTGAGAAACAAGATGCTAGATGGAATGGGATTGTGGATAAAACAGGTTGGTTAATTTTATTAAATCTATGCACAAACAAGCAGTTGTTTAATGTTCCCCTGTGCACAGGCCATGAACATCCTGTGCACTGGTAGAACAAAAATAATCCAGTGTGGGAGGTCATTCCCAGTGCTGCCACTCGGGCTGCAGTGTCCAGTGCAGGTGGTGACAGCACTGCAGGACAAAGACGCTTTTCCCAGCCAGACTCGGAGGGTTTCCCTGCAGGCCTGGGGTTGCCAGTCCCCTGCAGAGCTGGGAAATGCCCTCAGTCAGGAGGGGCCTCCCTGGACCCCCAGAGCTGCTGTCCTGGGCCGGGCTGCCTCTGCCACATCTGTCACTTGAGCTTTCCTCTCCTTATGACCAAGCTGCTACCTTCTTTGGTTTGCTTGGTTTGGGTTTTCCTGGAGTTCTCTCTCAGCTCTGATTAGGGATTTGTATCTGAAAGTTGTACCTCAGAGCACAGCTGGTAGAGCAGAGATGACAATCCAGACTGTACCTGGTGTGCAGTTACTCTTTTTTTTTTTTCCCACATCTAAAGCAATAGAAAAGAAGAATAATTATGGAATATTTTTTCCCTCACACAAACATCTGTTATTCATATTCTGGTTATTTTTCATGAGTGGTTGTTGCTAAACATGCCCAGTGAATTTCAGCCACATTTGAGATTCAGTTGATGTTTCACTTTTCCAGCAATGATAGAAGCAGACTTCCTCATCATAGCTGCTCTTTGCTGGCAAACCAAGTCCGGGTCTTTTCTGCCAAATTTGCACAGACCCATCTGGCAGGAGGTGTTTGCTAAGGATGCACTGTGCACAAGGTTTGTTTTCTGGGTTAAACCTCTCTGTGCAGTGATGCTAATATCAGCTTTGAGCTGAACTTTAACTGTAGCATTTTTAATCTCCCACCATTGTAAATAAACAGCAACATTGACAAATTTGAGATTGCATTCACAATTTTAGGTATTCTTTCAGTTCACGTGGCTGGCACCTTCACCAAAGGCTGCAGCTTTTCTGGGTGATTTTGCTGCCAGAATTTTTCTTCATTTGTGGCTGTTAATATAATGCTCCAGAGCATATCTCTGCATTTTGCCAGTGTTCATCAAATTTATTGGTGGAGGCAAGTACACCATCTACATCACAAAAATTGGTGGTGTGCTGGATTAGACAGAGCACTGCACTCCAGGTGCTTTCCCTGGCAGTACTTACCCTCAGCAGCAGTGGCTGGAACAGTTCTGTGTTTGCCCTCTTTTCACCTCTCCTCTCTTGGTGTGTTCTCTCCAGTGTTGACCCACAGAAATTCAGAGATTTCCAGTCACGTGCTGCCTTTCGAATGTTGATTCAGTAGCTGATAGAACATTAGGACAGGCCAGGGTGTCTCCATGGGTGTCTACATGCTTTGGATCAGCTGCACAGATGCCAGAAACTGTTATTCTCAAGTAAATTGAATGGGATAGATCTCCCCAATGTTGTGTATTTCAAATTCTTATCTTGCTGAAAGTCTTACTTTTACCCATGGCATTTCTGCATGATTCTTCCTTCCTTTATTGGAAGTGTACTTTTTTTGATGTCTTTAATTTTAGCTTAGAGCTTTTCTTACATAGAACTTCCCATAACCTTCATATATTCATGAAGGTGATGAGCAATTTAGTTCTTCTACTTGTCATCCCTCTTTGTTTACATCCTCTGACCATATATACCATATTGTCCTCTATAGAAACTTGGGGTTTTTCTAAGTCTGCAAAAGCTGTCTTGATTGAGTCTAAGTATTGGGTATTGAGTCTGGACAATTTTAAATTGTCCTAGAGAGTCTCCTGGAGCATCAGATTCCTCAGGAGAAGGACTTGGAGGTGCTGATGGATGAAAAACTGAATATGACCCAGCAGTGTGCCCACTGGGTGCTGGGCTGATCTCTCAGTGTGGGCAGCAGGTCTGGGAGGATTCTGCCCCTCTGCCCCACTCAGGTGAGACTCCACCTGCAGAGCTGCCTCCAGCCCTGAGGCACAAGAAGGACACTCCTTTGGAAAGAGTCCAGAGGAGGCCACAAAGATGCTCCCAGGGCTGGAGTCTCTCTGCTCTGAAGCCAGGCTGGGAGAGCCGGGGATGTTCACCTGGAGAAGAGGATCCAGGGAGACCTTAGAGCCCCTTCCAGTGCCTAAAGAAGCTCCAAGAGATTTGGAAAGGGACTTTGGAAAAGGGACTGGAGTGACAAGACAAGAGAATGACTTCCCACTGCCAGAGGGCATGGTTAGATAGGATATTGAGAGGGAATTGTTCCCTGGCAGGGTGAGCCCCAGAGCAGCTGTGGCTGCCCCTGGATCCCTGGAAGTGTCCAAGGCCAGGTTGGACGGGGCTTGCAACAGCCTGGGACAGTGGAAGGTGTCCCTGCCCATGGCAGGGGGTGGAATGAGATGGGCTTTAAGGTCCCTTCCAACCCAGACTCACTCTAAGTGTGATCACTTACAGAGCCCCAGTACCACACAGGTCTGTGCTCTGGAGGGTGACTGCAATGCCTGAAATGTCAGTGCACTTGTGCTGTGGTGTTATCAGAGCTCTTGGATATCGTGAGTGAGTCACTTCTGGGTGCATTACTGGAAGAAAAGGTGCTACCATTAAAATAAATAAAAAATGCATCTACCCATGGCACTTGCTTATCCATACAGATCTCATAGGAAAGCCTTTTTAGTTTAGTTGAAATATATGTACTCTATAATCTGAAATATCCATTGGCATTCTTTTAGTTATAAAGCTCATATTCATGGTAGAAGTAAATGTTTTAAGATCAACAGAGCACGAGGCAACTTATTTCCTTTTCAGTAGCACTTAAGGCAGTGACTACACACAGACCTGGTGTGTCTGTTCCAGTCTGGCAAGTTACATCAGAAGCATTTCAGTGGGTTATTCCAAGTCTGTGGAGAGTGCTAGGAATTAATTAGTTAAGTACTTAGTTATAGAAGCAGAAATCAAACACTGATGTAGGGGTGGATCTTAATTGCAATTATTTTTCTTTCAGTTCTTCAGAATCACGTCCAGCTGGCCTGGAGGAGAGTGATCAGTCATCGATGTCTGGAGACCAAGGAATGAATTTAGATAAGTCAGGCCCTAAACTCTCAGATTTTGCAAGTAGACCACCAGGTAGTAGGATTTTTCTGTGATTATCTGAATGTTGTAACTATAGGAGAGCTTTTAACGATCTTTGTGACAGTTCTATTTTATCTATGCTATCACACATTCAAGTTCAAACCTTTTTTCCTCCCATAAGTAATTGGTACTATTGTTCAAGTGTTTTCTTTGGGTTAGCTCAAAATGAAGAGGTGGCCCCATTCTCATTTAGCATCCTGCAGGTATCATACTGAGTACTGTAGCAATTTTCAGCAGTAACAAAACGAATAAAAAATGTTGTATTTCTAGCTGTAGCACAGTCTGATGTCTTAAAAATTTAGCATTGACCAATAGCTGACTTTTGAGAAGAAACAGTGGTTGTAGTTGGAATGATCCTTTGCATGTAGAGAGGATTAAATCTAAACTCTGCAATAGGATTTATATTATAAACCACACGGGGGTTCTTAGCGTGTTTTTGCCTGAGTAACACATGGCAGATTTTACTTTGTACTCAAGAAAATGTCAGGTCTGTGGCAGGTGTGCTGGTCCATGACTCCTGGGGGCTGTCAAACTCTGAAGCTAGTTTTAAGGAGTAATAATTAGTGAAAGTCCAACTCTGCATTTGTTTGGGAAAGGAAGCCCATGGGCACTTGCAAAGACTTATCAGATGGTGTGAAACTGGGTTAGTAGGTGATACAACACACTAAGAGATCTCCAGTTAAATCTCATGCAAGTCATACGTTAAGTAAAACTTATGAATTAAGTAAAATCTTTGGCTTTGTTTGTAAAGCCTTTTTTGTGCATGTGGCTCTCATCCAAGATAAACACGCTCCAGGCTGTACTTTCTATCCAGTCTTGTTTGTTACAGAAATTCTGCTTCTTCTTATTTTTGGTTGGTTGTAACGCTTGTGTCATCCTCTTGCCTTAGGTTATCCATCTCAGCCGGTGGAGCAAAGGCCACTTCAGCAGATGCCACCTCAGCTCATGCCACACACGCAGCAGCCCCAGCCACAGCAGCAGCAGCAGCCCCAGGCAGCCCCACAGCAGGGCCAGGCACCCCCCCAGACACCACAGCAGCAGCAGATGATGATGATGCTGATGATGCAGCAGGATCCCAAATCAGTCAGGCTGCCTGTGCCCCAGGGGGTTCACCCCCCCAGGGGGCCCCTGAACCCGGATGCTCAGCGGATGCCAATGCAGCAGAGTGGAAACATGCCAGTGATGGTGAACCTCCAGGGGCCTGGGCCCGTACCTCCATCTCCTGACAAACAGAGGGTGGCCCTGCCAGGCAATCCTCCTCTGGGAAATAATGCAAGAAAAATGGTTTATCCAGATAATGTACAGAATCCTTCCAGCTCGCCCCTCAGAGAGGTGTCATCAGTATCCTCTCTTCCAGAAGGAGGTGGAGCTGAGGGGCCTCCAGCATCAGGAGCTCAGAATAGTGTGACATCTCATTTGGTAGTTTCACAGAACCAGTTAATGATGACAGGACCTAAGCCTGGACCATCCCCACTTTCAGCTGCCCAAGGTGCAAGTCCCCAGCAGCAGTCTAGTTCTCTCTCTAGTGCTCTTACACACCATTTTCCAAATGTTGCTGCCCCATCACAAACTTCAAGGCCTAAAACCCCAAACAGAGCTAGCCCAAGGCCATATTATCCTCAGACTCCTAATAACCGTCCACCCAGCACAGAACCCTCAGAAATTAGCCTTTCTCCAGAGAGGCTCAATGCTTCTATTGCTGGTCTGTTCCCTCCCCAGATCAATATTCCTTTACCTCCCAGGCCTAATCTCAATAGAGGATTTGATCAGCAGGGTCTGAATCCCACTACTTTAAAGGCCATTGGACAAGCCCCATCAAATCTCACAATTAACAATCAGTCCAGTTTTACTGCCTCACAGTCACACAAGCTGGAAGGTGTGGTCATTAATTCAGGCAAACAAACCAATGCTGGTGGAACAAAGAGAGCAAGCCCAAGCAATAGTCGAAGGTCCAGTCCTGGATCCAGTAGGAAAACTACACCAAGCCCTGGCAGACAGAATTCAAAAGCAGCTAAATTATCACTGACAACTCAGCAGAATCCATCTCTCTTGCAGAACATGGAATTACAGAGAAATATGATGGCTGGTCCTTCTTCTTTGCCGACACCCGTGACCACAAGTTTTCAAACTAACTCCATGCTAAGTAACCAGAGTCCTGCAGTTTCTGCACCTACTGTGACTGGCATTCCTGAAGATAGTAAGGAGAGCCTTAGTGCGCCTCAGGATACAGAGAGTCAAAGTGCACAAGGTGTCCAAGGTAGCAAGGACCAGCCCAATATGGAACTGAAAGGTGTCCCTACTTCAGAAATGAAAGTGCTGGTTCCTGAGGAACAGGCAAAAAAAGATGGGCAAGCCTTAGATAGCAGTAAGCTCCCGGTCATGGAGGAAAGTAAAGCCGTGGTATCTCCAGCTATGAGGGAGGCACCAACTTCTCTAAGTCAGCTTCTTGACAATTCTGGAGCTCCTAATGTGACCATTAAGCCCCCTGGTCTGACTGGTCTTGAAATGGCACCAGTAGTCCCTGCTGGAGAGGAGCTAAAGAAGATAGCTGTCATTCCTCCACTGCAGGATTCATCCTTGAGCAAGGAGCCATCTAATTCACTTAGCCTGCCTCAAAATAATGAGCCCTGTCCAAATCCAGGGCACCAGGAGCTGGGAGAAGTAAATGCAAGTGTGGCACAGAGTGTTGCTCCAGTAGTGCAGAGGCCTGTTAGCTCTTCTATTTCAGGTCCTTTACCCCCCAACCAGATAACAGTTTTTGTGACTTCCAACCCTATTACATCTGCTGCTAATACATCAGCTCCACTGCCATCCCACTTGCAATCTGCATTAGTGTCCACTGTTGTCACCATGCCCAATGTGGGGAGCAAAGTGATGGTTTCAGAGGGACAGTCGGCAGCTCAGTCCAACGCCCGGCCGCAGTTCATCACACCAGTGTTTATAAACTCATCCTCAATCATCCAGGTGATGAAGGGCTCTCAGTCCAGCACGATTCCAGCAGCCCCCATAACTTCTAACTCGAGCCTGATGCCTCAGTCGGTTGCAGTTGTTGGTCCTTTGCATATCCCACAGAATATCAAGTTTTCCTCTGGGCCCACTCCTCCCAGCACCTCATCCACCAGTCCTGTGTCCAGTATTCCCACCAGCAGATCGCTCGTTCTGAATCCCTTGGCATCTCCTGTCCAACTGCCTTCTTCCACTCCAGCTCCTTCCAGTGTTCCTTCCCAGCTTCCTGCTCAGCAAGCCAAGGACTTCAGCCCGGAGGAGACTCCCCAAGGCACAGGGCCGGCTGAGCAGTGCCCTGTGCCAGCAGCCCAGTCGGGACCTGTTGTTTCCCCTCTGCTTACAAGCAGCCCGGGATCTGGGAACAGACGCAGTCCTGTTTCATCCAGCAAGGGAAAGGGAAAGGTAGACAAGATTGGCCAGCTCTTGCTGACTAAAGCGTGCAAGAAGGTCACTGGCTCCCTGGAGAAAGGGGAAGAGCAGTACGCTTTGGATGGAGAAACAGAAGGTCAGGGACTAGAAACGTCGGTCCCAAACAGTTTGGGAACAGAGCAACCACCAGCAGAACTCGATAACAAAAGCGGGACGCCTCCAGCACCCAGTCTTACAAAACAGAGCACGTCTGGGCCCGGTAGCTCGAGCCTCAGCCCCGCGGCGGCCGCTCCCTCCTGCGCGTCCCCGAGCGCGGCCCCGGCCGCAGCCGCCCCGGCCGGAGCGCCCCCGGCAGCCCCGGAGCCCTCGGGCCCCGGCGCCAGCGGCACCAACCCAGGCCCGGAGGGGCGCCCGGAGCCGAGCGGCAGCGCCGGGCCCGACGAGAAACCCGCAGCACCCCCGGAGCTGCTGCAGAGCGCAGGTGAGTGCGGGGCAGCGAGACACGGAGGGACCGAGGGGGCCCCGGGACATCCCAGGGGCTGCTCTCCCCGTTCTGCAGCCGAGGCTGACAGCTGTTTTTGTGTTTCCGACAGCTGAGTGATACGCTTGTATTCGCCGAGATTCAAGTTCCAGATGTTTTATTTCACTTTCCATTTACTGCTTCAGTGGGGTGTTTGTCATGAACATATGATTCTGTAACTTTATGTAACTGTTGGAAGGAGGAAAAGTTAATGTATCAGTAACGACAAATACCTAGGGTCCCTTTTATACTGGCAGATACACTGGTATTCTGCTTTGGTCTTGCCACAGTCTTTTTTGACTTAATTATGATATTCTGAATGAATCCCAATAATGCTATTTCCCTCTCTGAATAACTTTCATCCTCTAGAGAAATTGCTGAATAGCCTCCAGAACAGAAGAAAAAAACAACCCACACCAAACCCCCGTGTGCCTAGGGAAAAACTTATATGCTCATTTCAGAGAAATTAACGAAAAAGTTAACTGCATTCAGTTTACAAACATCTGAGCATCTGGTAGACTTTATATATGACATCGATGCTATTTTTTGATGCCAGTTTTAATTTCTTGAATCTGGTGTGGATATAAACCTACCACTCTTGAAGTGAGCTGAGTGACTGTTGTGCTTTTCAATATGAATTAGACACAGTAGATAAAATCATGGATGATAAAATGCACAGAAGTCAGGGGAACTGACTGAAAACTTCAGCCTCAGTGTGACCTTCCCCCCGCTGTTGTATGTCGCAGCTGTATCCCACTGGAAAATAGAAGCTTCCTTTGAGCTTCACAGAAGCAATTCTGGCTCTCTAGGAAGTGATAGTCTTTAAGCAGGAATGTTAAACTTTTTGTCTTCCTGTTCTATGTTAAGTTCATTAGCCCAACAAAAATTATTTCTCCATCTGATTTTTTTACTTGGCAACCTAAGAAAGGTTAAGTCATCATCTTACTGCCAAAGGCCTTCAAGGGCAACTCTGGAACATATCGTGCACTTTAATTGAAAGAGTGAGGACATTGATTAATTAAAAATATAGTATTTTCCCCCAGAATCTCTGTTGAGATGAACATTAAAAAAAAGGAGACTAAACTATTGAAATGTTAGGATTTCCTTTAATGTTACAGTCTGCTGAAAAACCGTTACCTTTAAAAATGTTGTTTATGGTACTTCATTTCATCACTCATTCTAGTTTGAGAAAACTTGCTTGGGATAGTGTTGCCAAAGTTTGTTTTAAAAAGGGGGAGGTGTGTGTGGTGGGAGGGAGGTGGAGGGTAGATGAAAAATATTGCATCTGTAAAGGGCAAAGTGCAGTGAGCTGGGAGAGAGAGCATTTTGTACCAGCCTGATCACACAACAGGAACCACTTTACTCCCTTTGACAATAATGTTTTTTTCCTCCACTTTTATTCTAGCATCCTCTCAACATTTAACACAGAAAAAAAGTTCAGTTGCAACATCAGAAAGTACTGTTCAAAGAACAGGTAAATCTTCCTTTGGAAAAGCAGAATAGAGGTGAACAAAGTCCTTTATGTTTGGAACTGAAAATGTATTTGTTTGAATGCATATTCAGTGGTCACTAACACACTGGGTATTTTGGGGGTTGGGTCGGGCTTTTATTATTATTTGTGCTTTTGGGATTGTTTTTCTTTGATAGTTACATTGTGCTTTGGAAATCTCCAAAGTCTTGTGGGAGATTCAGGATGGGGTCAAGTAAAAAATGAAAAAATCCCCAAAAACGATTTTAGATATTCAGTGATAAATTGGAGGGACTGGATTTGTAACAATACATTTTGTTTGAATTTGGAATTTTTATGCAAACCTAATGAGAGGGGTATTTCTTTTTTTGTACCCCTCTGAATATAGAAATATGTTCATGCCATGCTGAGAGTGTGTTTTAGAGTTGTAATCCTTTTTTTGTGTTCAACTTTTAATGCCCCCTCAGCAGTGTTTCAGGATGGAGCCCTGGCAGATGGCTTTTTGGTGTTGCCATCTATTATCATGGTGTTTCACAGTCAGTTCTGGGTTGTTTTAAAAAAGTAATTCCCAGGTTGAGTAGGAAAAACAGATAGATGTGGGCTTACTTATGGGAACTGCCACTCTCAATCCATTTGTCATCTCTAATCTGATTAGAAATAGGGTTTTCAGAAAGTAAAAAATTTATGAAATGGTTTACTTTGAATTTCCACTAAGACAAAGGTGTTCATACACCCTTGTTTTTTCACACCTGACTCATTGCCCTGTGCTGCTGTGACTGTACTGGGGGTTCCTGCTGGGGGAAGCACTGATGCTATCCATTTTTTTGCTGTTTGTTTAAATTTTGGGTGGGAAGAAAGGTAACTCCTTTCATTGCTCAGTCTGTTCTTCCTTTGTTGCCAAGACGTGTGTTTTTCTCAGATGATGCTATCTATATCCATTTACACCAAAGAGTTCCAACACTGCAAATTCATCTTAGGAGGACAGACATTACCATTCTCTTACTTTTTTTAATGCCTCTCTTATTCATTGAGCACACTCTTGCAGCCTTTGGGGCCCCAATTGCTGTCAAAGGCAAAGCCCCAGTTTGTGTCCCACTGGCCCCAAGTTTGATGGGAGAATTGAGCTGGAAAATGGGACAAAGCACAGGGAGTTGACATTGCAATGGTAATCCTTAAATCTCTGGCAGTTCCTCATTAGAGGGCCTGTGCTTAGGTATAGGTCTTCCCTCTCAACAAAGGATACAAGAGAGAAGGATATGGAGAGAATTAAAGGACAGACAGTAAAAAGACTTGACATTCTGTGTTGAAAAGGAGACCTATTTGCTGAGGTGAAGACTCCAAAGGAAACCTGACCTGTATGTACAAAATCACTGAGAGAAAAAACAGGTCAGACTTCTCTTTGCATCATCTCCCCTGAGATGTTTTCCAGTTCTGTACAAGTTCAATTGGGCTTCAGAAATTTGTTATTAGAAGATATTGCTGTGAGAGGCAGTTGGGTTAAGGCAAATTTTTACACACACAGTAGAGCCAGATGTGTACCTTCAAGGCTTAAAAAATCAATAAAAACTAGAAGGTTTAGTAGAAGTAAGCTGTTTAAAATGGAAGTTTTAAAAGGGAGAAAAGTACCCAGGGAGTTTCTCTATAGTTTTCTTCTGCAGGGCTTTAATTTTTGCCTGTCTTAGCTGACTGCAGTGTCCTGAAGACTGTAATGAGACCAAGCACTTGGCCAATGTGGTATTTTGGCTTGCTTTGCTTTGAGAGAAGCTTATCCTTGAGATCTAATATGTGATAGAAAATTGTGAGCTAGTCATGCCTTGTCAGCAGGTATGTACCTCTACAGCAGACTTTAAAATTATCTTTTTCTTTTGTAGAACTTGAGACAAATGCTGCAGTAGTTGCTGGTCAAAGGTAAGGAGATAGTTTGTAGATTCAGAGTAGATATAGCTTTCATGGGAGGAAGTCCCTTTCTCTTTGCTTCATTGCTCAGCCTCTGTTACAGCTTTTCATTTTCTCGGCCGTATCCTTTCTTTCCTGCTAAGAAATCAGGCCAGTTGAATGTTCCAAACCATTGCTGAAATGCAATGAATATAAGGTAACCTTTTCCTTAGTCTGTGCTTTGGGCAATATTTCCTCTCATCTTTTCAGGCCTGGGTGTTTCATGTCCTGGAAGGGTCTTGATGGTTGCACAACAAATCAAAACGAACCCCCCAAAGCCTGCAGCTTAGCTGTGATGTGCATTTCTGTTTTCTGACAGGAAGTCTTTCAAAAGTTTGTTGTTCTGCCTTGAGGATTGTTTTCAACTGTTTTCAGCAGTTTTCTTCTTCGTAAACACTCTGCCAAAACTTGATAAGAAAGTCAGGTAGAAACTTCATATTGTCCTGGTTAAGACATTGGGTAATTAAACGATGTTATTGCAAATGGTTGTGTTTTGTCAGAAGAAAATACAGTTTCCAAAATCTACTTAGAAGATTCTAAACACTCCAGGCTCTCACTCAGTTGGCAATGAGAGCCCCTGGGGTGGCTTTTGGCTAATGGTGCTGGCACAGCTGCCGGATTTTGGGCACTGGGTGGAGTGACCCCTTAGGCCAGAGCAAGAGGGGCAGCCCCTTGTTGGGTTCCTCAGGAGATGAGGCAGTGCCTTCCTTTGTAAGGAAGGGAATGCATTTCCTCAGATCAGGAATGGCTCTGAATGGAATATTTAACCATATTTATCTTCATGTGGATTGGCATCTTTCAAAGACAAGCTGAAATTTCACAGTGACTTTTCTTCTTAAAATTCTGGGTAGAATTTTAATGGAAAGCTGAAGGTGGGACATTGGCACCTGAGCAGATTCTCCAAATGAAGTGTGACCCTCTTGTGTGACCATCTCCAAACTCACACAGCACATCAAATTAGCACAAGGGCATTCTCAGGGTTTTTCTGATTGATGCTCTTCTGAGCAAGACTGGAAAAGAAGGGGAATTTGCAGACAAACTGGGTCTAGTGATGTCTGGTACAAAGTGCATAGCTTTGGATTCCTGGAGTCAAACCATGCAGGACAAACCTTGATAGAAACATAGGTGGTTTGAGTGGGAAGCGACCCTAAAACTTACCTTCATTCCACCTCCTGCCATGGGCAAGGTCACCCTCCAGTATCCCAGGTTCCTCCAAGCCCAGTCCAATCTGTCCTTGGACACATCCAGGGATGGGGCAGCCACAGCTGCTCTGGGCAACCTGTGCCAATTTCTCCCTAATATCTAACCTAAGCCTGTTCTCATTTAAAGCCATTAAAAACCTTTAAAACCTTAGGGGAACCCATAAACCACTTGGAAATATTTTCACTTGTAGTAACTCGATTTCCTCCTATAAAAGGAAGTGATGTGCTGGTTCCTATGAGACCAGCTCTGGATTTAGTCACTAGAATCTGTAAAAATGACTTGTACTAAATGAACTTCAGGTGCTGACGCCTGTTTGCTTCCCTCTGGGGGTCCTCTGAGGTCAGTGACTGCTGGTTCAGCTGCCCCAGTCCCATAGGAGACCAGTTTTAGACCTGTTGGGGGATCCAGTTTATAGATGGCCCATAATACTCCCTTCTGGGGAAATAGATTTCAGTATTTATTTTGTATCTGAGGTAATCTACAATCCATAGTTTCCTCTGCTGTGTTTCCTTCCTTGAGAATGTTTATCTCTCCTTCCATTGAGAAACTGTTTTATTTAAGGTTTCTGTTACTTAACCCTAAAGTTTGTGTGATTTGAGTCCTTCCCCTCAAAGCAGGACTTGTCTGAGGGTGACACTGCAGTGAGACCTCTGTCACACACAGGTCACCCTCTGCTGTGTCTTCACTCCAGTCTCTGATTCAGGCACCCTATCCTGAAATCCTGCAAGTTGTCACCTAAAGGGCCTGAAATGAGCTTTCTTCTTTTCCATTATCAGCAGAATAATTTATTTAGTTAATTACTTACCTTTGAATTCACACAAGTTTAGTTTAAACTTCTGGAACTGCTTAGTCACCAGAAATTGTCTGGCAATAACGCATTAAGGAGAAAACACCCAAAGCTCAGGATGAGTTTACAGGGCTAAGAGAGATAAAATAAAAGAGGAATTTAATTACAAAATGTAGCATTCCCTTTATTGTCTCGGTGGCAAGAAACAGATTTCCACAGTACCTAAAATTACTATTTTATAGCAGAAAAAGCTTTCTGTTACACAAAAACAAACAAACAGAAAAAAAATCCAAAAACCAAAACAAACAACAAAAAAATTTTTTTTAACTTCAAGGTTTAAAACTTTTAGAAATTTTTTAAAATCCCTCTTTTTAATATGTGAATAAATCACTTGGATCAATGGAGTAAGTCTTTGTAGCAAACCCAAGAGGTGGCATACTCCCTGAAGAGTTCTTAATTCCTCCTGATGTTCATCTGCAATTTCAACTCTGTACCCCCATACTGCAGCGGTCTCTAATGTAACCTGTTTGCTTTTCCTAGACTTCAGTAATGGTGGCACCTGTGGAAAACAGAGCAGACAATTTATAATGCATCTAATTTATTGGTCTTCTAATGTTGAAAATATTCTCTTTGAGGACTTCTCAATTCTGTACCCTCTGATAATTTTTGATAGAAATGGACTATACTCTGGCTTACTCAGGTCATTCTTCATCTGATAGAACTTCTGGTATCTCTAGCGTTTCATATCTTCAGTGCTAATAGTCCGGAACTGGTACCTGTGTCGGGCCATCCTCCAGCTTGTCTGACTTGCATAGAAAAACGTAATTCTTCTCACACTTCATCAGAAATATTTTGTCCCACTTTATTAGTAATGAGACAAAAGAGAATTGTGAAAAGTCTAAAACTCCAAGTAGAAGAAATTCAAGAACAGAGGATTCTGCCGCTTCACAGGAAACTGTAGAGAACGGGCAGCGCAAGAGATCCTCGCGACCCGCATCCACGTCCAGCACAGCTAAAGGTAACATGTCCAGCCACCCTTCCTGGGGAGAGGGCAGCTCCTAACCTGCTTCCCTGGGTGTTTGCCCTGGCAGTAACTGCCTCGTAATGCTGGTTTGCAGCTTGTGCACCTTGGGTGCTTTATCTCTAGTTTCAAGGATTTAGCCACAGGTTGGTGTTGAAGCGTTTCTCGACGTCTGCACTGGCAGTAAATCCTGTATGAATTCCTCTTTGGTACATCTGTGGAACTTGTTTTCTGCAGCACTCACCACTGTAGTGCTCAGCACCTTGCCTAGTTGAATTCTCTTGGCAGAAATGTGTTGCTGTTGGAAGGACCATACTCAGATCAAAAAGTGACATTTTCCTTTTCCTGAAGCCCGAAAGACACAAGACTTAAATCTTCCCAAGTGCACGGTCAGCTCTTGCCAAGTCAAATGCCAAATGCCATGGTTCAGGCACGCTCCAGAGGCTGCTGAGGTGGCAGCCAGGAGCCTCAGGGAGTGCTGTGTGCTAGCACAGAGCCTCAGCTCTGCTTCTCAACAACATCTGAACTCCTGAAGTTATTAACCCATGGCATTAGCAGGTGCTGATGTACCTTACTCCTGCCCAGGTTACAGTCTTTAACAATTATGCAGCATTTGTGTGATATGCATGGCCCAGTGCCAGGCTGAAGCTAATTCTGTCAGCTTCTTGTGTTTAAGGGTCAGAAAAATGCTGATGGACCAAAGTTATGCAAGAGAGTAGAGAGATCGTCAAGAGGCTACATTCAACTACTATTTTAAAGATAATATACAGAACAAAGAGGTATTAATATAAAATGATTATAAAAGGAAGTCAAGTTGAATTCAGCTACCATTTCCATACTGGAGGTACTAAAGTGTGATGGTAAGAATATTGTGTTTTCAGAGTTTCAGAGAAGCATTCCAGCTTTCATTCCATTGTGCAATGACTCCCAAAGATTACACAGGGGACCTATATATTCTGCAGTTTTGTGACTGCTGAATTTAATTACATTTACTTCTTGTGGCAGGACTGTGCAGAGTCTGTATTGTAAAAATAAATTCTTTCATGATTGTGAAAAAAAGTTTGAAAAATGTGAAGCCAGTGTAAAATCCCTGCCTGTGTTTGAGGGGATCTGGAGCATGTGACCTGCCCCACAGGCTGTACTGGGTAAACCTAAAGATGACAACCAGTGACAACCAGTCAAATTCTGAAAATGTGGGAACGGGAAAGTGCATCAAATTTAAATAATACCAAAACTCTTACATGAGTTTGTGCTGACTGTGGAATTAATTTGCCTCTGTAAATAAACCCCTTGTTTTTAAATAATACAGTGTCCAAGGGCTTTGCTGGACACTTGGTTGCAGGGCACCTGGCTGTGCTGCCTTACTGTGAGCACTCGGCTGCTCCCCAGCTGTGGAGAATGAGCCAAACCATATGCCCTGGGGCAGAGGACGGGCTGCACCTTAGTCAGGTGGCCGCAGTAGTGTCACCTGGTTTGCCACCTGTGCCTGCTCTGTTATACATTTTTGTTAGTAAATCAGAGCTTAATTATTCTGGTTTACTTGCTCCTGTCCTCATTATATTATCTGTGTCCCAAGAAACCCCCTAATCCATGGTAAAAGGAATGTGGGGCTGGGAGGAGTTATCTCTTGAGATAGAGGCTGTTTAAAATCATTATTAGGGAAAAAAGTCAGCAGGGAGAGAGAAGCAGACTTTCACCAGCTGGAATAGGAGCTCGCTTGCTAAGGCTGGGAAGAAGGAGGCAGAAGGGTCACTGTGAGAGAAGATAAGAGAAAAGAAGAGCACACAGGGAGGGTCAGCCCTGTCCCCGTGTGTCCAGCACACTCCAGGGTGCAGGGTTTGGGGAGGTGCTCCCAAGGGACTGAGACAGGCTGAGTGCTGCTGGCCCACTCCTCCTCCCAAACACGGAGCCTTCAGCAGCAACAAGGGCAGCAACAGCTGGTGCTGAAGTCACTTCAAAGTCAGCCCTGCTGCTTGGAGGGCTCCAGGCTGCAGTCGAGCCTGTGGAGAGGTTTCACTTCTGAAAATTGGTACTGTACTGGTGTTTTCCCTTTTTGGAGTACATTTCCTGCAAGGGCTGCTTTTAGCATTTACTGTAGCTTTGAGTTTGTTAAATTTTTAAATGTTGATTGTTTTTTCTAATTCCACATGTAACAGCTGTGGAGTTGTATTGCTGCTGTTCTAATTTTAGATGGGCTTCGAAATTTTTTTCCCTTTTGACTTTTAAAATGCACACAGCTGCAAGAGTTTTTGGAAAACATTATGAAGAGCCAAAGAGACATTGCCAACGTTTAAAATCACATTTTTAGAAGGATCTAAAGATGCAAATGCCCTTGGTCCTTACTCTTTTTTTGTTTTAAAATGGAAACTTAGTGCCTTGGTAAGTGGACTGGACATGTCATCTGCTGTCACCGTGGCCCTGCAGGTGTCAACATTTGTGTCTTTTTGCATCAGCTGTGTTCCTGTGACTCAGTGTACACTGCAGAGACTTGTTTTCTGATGACTTTCTAAGAGCTCAGACAACTGGGCCCTTAACTGGCCTGGCAGGCTCCAGAACACCTCTGCAGTGGTTGTGTGGCACCATCTCCATTGCTGTGCTTCCTCCTGGGATGTGGCTGCCCTGTGCCGTGTGGGGGACAGCACACAGGGGACAGTTACAAATATTTGGCTCTTCTTTCAAAAGCTGTTCTGTTAGGTTTGCAGAAATGTGCAGCTGATGCCCTGGTGGCCCCAGAGTGGCTCGGGGCCCCTGTGAGTGTCAGTGCTGGCCCGGGGCTGTCACAGCTGCCCAGGAGTCAGTCCCGGTGCTGGGGAAATCCTGCTCTCCAGAGCCTTCCACTCTGGTGTGAGTTTGGAAAAATGACTGGGCAATCTGTGCCCCTCTGGGGAATGGCTTACCAACTGCACATCCATGCTTTTTTTCTTCTCTTGATTTCAGAAACGAGTGCCAGTGCAATGCAGTCAAAAAGAAGAAAATCCAAGTAAATTACTGCATGGAAACTTGAGACTTGTAAATGAGTGTGAATTTACCAATAGCAATTTTGAGCTGTGATTTTTCTTTTTTAAATAAAATTCTGTACAGTAAGTCATTTTAATATTATACTGTTCCCAATAAATGATTTTTTTTTCTAAAAAACAGATAAATAGATATAAAAACTGGGTTCTTCTAAAACCCCCTGGATTTGCAAAGTGAAGTCAGGGTTAGCACATTAGGGTAATGTGTTTGTATGAAATGGGAGGGGAAGACAATTGTAAATTTATTTGTTTCCACTTTTCATAAACAATTTAGAATACAGGGTTGTCATTTTTAGGTATTAAAATAATGTAATGTGCTGTTGTTTAAGTACTGTATGTGAATAGCAGTCAGAAGGTTTATAAACAAACCCCATGTTGTTTGGAAATGTAAATAATTTTATTATATAGTAGATCTGATGTATTTGTTGTAGAAATGGACCAGTGAAACAAAAAATAAATTTAAGGGTTTGTATAATGTGGAATCCTTCATGCTCTAAATAAATGTTATTGTCCTATAAATTGGGTTGAATTATTATTAGCAACAACAGCAGCATCATTCCAAACAGGAGGATTGGAGGGATTATTTAGAGCTCTGGGCCTGCAAGCTCCTTATATGTAGCTTCAGCAAGGAATTTGTTTAACCACAAACAAATTAACTGATGCAGCTGTTCCTGCAAAGCAAGGGAGAACGGGAAGGGCACCCTGGGGCTGTGCAGAGCAGAGGAGCCCCAACAGCCTGGCTCCCCACAGAGGGAAAAGGCCCAGTTCCAGGGGGTAAAAGCTCCTGCCAGGCAGCCTGGCTGCTGTCCCTTGATCTGGAGAACTCTGCTGCCATCGGCCCTGGGGCTGGGATGTGCTGCCATTGAAAGCTGGTCAGGCTCGCTGCTCCTGGGAGCTCTGTGCACATACACTGCCACCTCTTTCTTACTGAATTTTAAAAATATATATCTCAAAATGCTGATTAAATAGAAATTGTTATTAAATAGAAGTTGTCAGCTTTTATAATCACAGAAATTAGCTATTTGTGCACAAAGTAACAGGCACTGAGTGAGGCTGATGTCACAGAATCACTGGGGTTGGAAAAGTCCTTTAAAACCATAAAGTCCATCTGTTCCCTTAGCACTGCCAAGGCCACCACTAACCCATGTTCCCAAGTGCAGCATCCACACTTATTTAAAATCTCTCTAGGGATGGGGACTCCACCGTTGTCCTGGACAGCTGTGCCAGAACTTGACAACCCCTTCCATGAAGAAATTTTCCCCAATATCGAACCTGAACCTCCCGTGGTGCAACTTGAGGCCATTTCCTGTCATCCTGTCCCTTGTTCTCTGGGAGCAGAGCCCGACCCCACCCAGCTTCACCCTCCTGTCAGGAAGTTGTGGAGTAAATGTCCCCCCCTGAGCCCTCCCAGCTCTCTCAGCTGCTCCTGTTGCTCCAGCCCTTTCCCCAGCCCCCTTCCCTTCTCTGGATGTGCTCCAGCCCCTCAATGCCTTTCTTGCCATGAGGGGCCCAAAACTGTCCCCAGGACTGGAGGTGCCTCAGCAGTGCCCAGCACAGGGGAGTGGCTGGTACAGGCCAGGTGCCCTTGGTCTCTTGCCCACCTGGGCACACCAGGCTCTTGTTTAGCTGTCACCAACACTCCCAAGGCATCTTCCCAGGCACTCTGCAGTGTTTCCATTGTCCTGCCAGAGTGTGGCTGTTCCATGTCCCTGCACAGGCACAGCTGCTGTGGGTATGGGAGCCCCTGTACCTTTGCTGGGCTCTCTGTTGGGGCTCATCCTGCTCTGTGCTTGGCCTTGCTGCTCCTGTTGCTGCTCAGGTTGGGTGGGAAGCTTTGGAGAATGAGGACAAAGTCCACAAAACTGGAAAGTCTTCACAGAAAAGGTCCACATACCAATAAAACAGGGAAAGAGAGGGGATGTGCTTCAGTTTGTGGGAAACGCCACATTGTAGGGAGCAGACAAGCTTGAGGTCAGGGTCATCATTTACAGGGACATGGACCTTGGAAAGAAGAACTTCAAGATCCTACCAGTGGGAAAGACCTTTGGAAGGAGCAAAGGGCCCCAAACTGGTCTCCTGAGCAGTGCTGGAGTCCAGAGCAGGTCACAGTCAGAGCCCTGGAGGAGAGCTGAGCCAGGCTGTGGGCAGGGAGGGCAGACCATGGGGCAGGGAAGTAATTGCTCCCCTTGTAATTTCAGAATCTGAAATATTATCACCTGGTTTCTGCCTCCCACCTGGGGCTAAAACACCTGGCCAAAAGGAGATATTGAGGGAGATGGGCTTCCTCACCCTTTCATGCTCTGGAAAAGATGGAACCAGGATTTTATAGAGATGCGAGCTGGGAGAAAGGGACAGACACCACCAGGATAAATGGAAAGAGAGGAGGTTCTGATTGAGCAGAAGAAACTATTCCCCCAGGATGCAGTGGCAGGATCTCTCTCTTTGAAGAATTTCAATCATTTGCTGTACAAAGCCTGTGGTCTGAATTCATTATTTACCCTGCTGTGAGCAGGATGTTGGACCAAACCTCCTGAGTTCCATCCACCCTAAATAACCCTAGGTTTTATCTCCAGCTGCCAAATTTGGTTCTCCCCTAAGGAGTATTATCAAAGTTATGAAAGTTCACTCCCAGCTATTTTTTTCATTCTCGTTATCTAATCTAACATTTCTTTGAAGTGCTTTTCCCAGCAGCTGGGGGGTCATGGGTGTCTCCTCAGCTTAGCTCTGCTGGAGGAGCTGGCACAGCCACTGGGCTGGGCAAGCCCCATCCCACCCCTGCCCGAAGCTGTTCATGGCCATGTCTCCTGTCATCTTGGGTGTCTCCAAGGATGAAGACTCCTCAGCCTCTCAATCTGCTCCTGTGGCCAACCACCCCTGTAGTGAAAAAGCGTTTTTTATGTTTAAGTGAAATTCTTTTTTTTTTACTTCAATTTGTGTCTCTCACCCGGTCCCTGCACTGAGAATATTCCAGTTCTGTTTTCTGCACTCCCCCCATCAGTAATCCACACACAGGGCAGGATCTCCCTGAACCTCCTCCAGGCTGGGCAGCCCCAGCTCTCAATCTCTCCTCATCTCCAAGCCCTTAATCACCTTGGAGGCATCTCTGCCTCTCGTGGGTGCTGAGAACATCTCACACTGTGCTTGGAGAAACAGCTGATGCTGCAGAGATTGGCTGATCTGGGATTTTCTCAGGGCAATCGACATCTGGTTTAGCTGTGTCATTATCTGCTGAGTTGTAAGGTTTGGTAATGGGGAGGGGGAAAAAAATCCCCTCCAACCCCTCAGCCTATGCCGTC